TGAAAAGGTACAATGTATATTCAGAAAAATTAAATGAAATAAATTTTGTACTGTATGTGATTCTAAGCCAGATTTAAAATTGTTTAAATGCTTTTCAATTTTGATTCATTTTGCACAATATAAAATTCTGAAAAAAAGAAGTGAGTGAACAAATGGTCTGAAATTTTGCACTAGACCTTTAAAGCAGCATTCCTCCAGATCAGCAAAAATATTTCGATCAATTCAAATTTGAGAAAAATATACTAAGAGTTAAGAAAAAGTAGAAAGATTCATGATTCAAGTAATAATTTACATATTATGGATTATTGATGGTTATTTTTTTTTAATTATTTGTTACTATATTTTTTCTGCGTTACTAATGCAGTAAGGGCAGTTTTTACATATTTTGACCTCTTTTTGCAATGAACATTGGTTGTAAGTGTCATTGATAATGTGGGAATTGATTCCTTTTGGTTAATATACAATTATATTATGCTTTTAATTACATTTTCAAAATTTTCATGAAAATAAGCAGTAATCTGGAGCCGTGCTGCTTTAATATTAAATGGTACAACTTTCTCGAAATAAATTTACAGGCCCCATATGATAACATTGTATGTCAAAAAATCCTTTTGGGATCCCTTTAAACTTCCATGATATAACAAGTTGTAATTTTTTTAGTTTTAAAACAAAAATACAAATCTATGTAATGCCTGCTATACATTAAACTGAATAATTTTCTTTTTACTTATATTTGCCGTATTAATACAGATGTGTGTAAGTAAACTGATATTGTGTGTGTTTAAATTTATTTTTGGGCTTTTTACTACTGTAAGAAACAACTTTTTTGTCATTAGATAATGTTTAAGGTGTTTTGTTAGCTTGTAATATCAAAATGCCTGAAATTTATATAGTTTATACAAATTTATTTTAGTTTGATTGTGTTGGAAGCTGTAAGCTTATTGAAACACTCTCGAATCCGTTCCTGGAACCAACCAGTACTAAGCAATGAATGTAAAGTTTCTTGCTCAAGGAATGAAATGTATTTTCAAGAAAAAAAAAATCTTATAAAAAAAATCCTACATGTAATAATGTAGATCTGTGAAATTGCTAGATTTGTATCTAAATAAGTTGGTACATTGGTAGTAAAAGGCCCACATAAGAAATGCTTATTTTTCATTTTATGTTTCATTTTCAATGCACATGTGTCTGTATAATTATTTGCTTTTTTACTTCACAAGACTTACTTTTCACATTGAATGTCTCTTTACCCTTTGATTATGTATATGGAGATAATGATATGTATATAATTATTATTTTAATATATTTTATCAGTATATCTAGAGTCAGGTGTGTGTTGATCCACTGGCTCTCTGTACCAGTATTACCAGTATTTATTATTGACAAGAATCTAAAATAAGCAATCATTATTATGGGGAGTTTCAAATTAAAAATTTTAGAAGTCCATTTTAACGAAATAAGGGCATGATGATTTGGAATTCTAACTCTGCAACTTAAGTTTGATTCTCATGCAAAAAATCAATCCATCTATTCAATGTGTTTTGGCTTTAAAGATGTCATTACCTATGCTTGCTAGTAGTTTGTTAATGCATCAAGGTATATTGAAGAGTTTTGGTGCATCTACAATCCTAACTTCTGTGCCACCATTTCTCGACCAATGAACCCACAGTACTGAGTGAGTGGCAGATGATTCAAAGTTTATAGCCCTTACCACTTTTGTAACAACCATTTATTTGAAATTTTCTAATGAAATGAATATAATTTTATCTCAAATGTATGGAAATGAAAATGATGAAATTCTCTTGTTAGGGGATTTATGGAAATATTAATTTTGATGTGTAGATATAGAGGTTATAAATTTCGTCCACTAACTCTATCTCCAGCATGGTCTTAATTATGGTTATGGTTTGCATGTAAGATTATTTTCCTTTTACTGCCTTACTGTCACAAAATGATGAAAGTGTGAAAATATATACTTGTAGTATACATGTATTTTGTAAAACACTTTTATCAATGAAGGTCATTAAGTAAGGTTATTTTCCAAGGTTGATAACAATTTCTGAATTTGATCAGCTTTTCTGAATTATTTAGAACACCAGATCAAGATAATACAAAGGCAAAACAAACACAATGTCCATGTAATGTAAAAATTGACCAGATATTATGTTTTTACATAACTGTGCATTATTATTATGCCCTCCTTCGAAGAAGAGGGGGTGTATTGTTTTGCTAATGTCGGTCTGTCTGTGGGTCTGTCCGTCGGTAGACCACATGGTTTCCACTGATTATCTTGAAAAGTATTTTTCACAAAGTCTTCATATTTCACATAGTGATTGGTCATAACTAGTAGATGACCCCTATTGATTTTGGGGTCACTAGGTCAAAGGTCAAGGTCACAGGGACCTTAAATATCAAAATGGTTTCCGCTGATTATCTTGAAAAGTATGTATCAAAAAGTCTTCATATTTCACACAGTGATTGGTCATAACTAGTAGATGACCCCTATTGATTTTGGGGTCACTAGGTCAAAGGTCAAGGTCACAGCGGCCTTACATGTCAAAATGGTTTCCGCTGGTTATCTTGAAAAGTATGTATCACAAAGTCTTCATATTTCGCATAGTGATTGGTCATCACTAGTAGATGACCCCTATTGATTTTGGGGTCACTAGGTCAAAGGTCAAGGTCACAGGGGCCTTAAATGTCAAAAGGGTTTCCGCTGATTATCTTGAAAAGTATTCATCACAAAGTCTTCATATTTCACCTAGTTATTGGTCATAAGTAGTAGATGACTTCTATTGATTTAGGGGTCATTAGGTCAAAGGTCAATGTCACATGGGCCTTAAATGTCAAAATGGTTTCCGTTGATTTTTCCATAATTGAACACTTTCGTGTACCCATTTTTGGCAAGTTTCTGTAATAAAATTACCAATTATGTGAGTCAATGGCTAGAAAGGGGGGTATATGTGTCGTTCGACATTTTTGTTTTTAATTATATTTGTGTTATGTCTTTCATTTCAGTTATTATTTTTTTTATTTTATATCTAATATTAATTTTTTTATTTTTGTACATGTGTGGTCTGTGTTGTTTTATATGTTAGCCTTTACATGGATATTTTAGCTCATCTTAAGTGCTTACAGTTCAATTATTGTGATAGTATATATTGACACCTTCGTGCAGGTTACATGTAAAGTCCTTCGAAATAAAATAGGAGTTAACCAGTTATTGCACTAAGGTGATGATATGTCTGTTGTATACTGAACATATTATATATCCTCCATATATATATTATCCTCCTTAACCAAATCTTCAGTTAACCTATCCTTAGGAACATAAAGGTCACAGCAAGGGTGAAACATTAAATTTAAAAGAATCTGCATCTGCTAAGTAACTACAATGCCTGTAGCTTAGATATTTTGCATGTAGCATCAGATGGGTAGTCCTCTACAAAAGGTTACATGATCCATATTTATGTCAAAAAATACCACCCCAATGTGAAGGTGTACTCTTGCATTGACAGAGTATAATCTTGTCTTGCAAAGGATCTCAGTTGAATGCTATAGGGCCATAATTATAGGCTATATACATTGTATATTTTGGGTTCCAATGACTAAGAATAGATCAGGGCCTATCTAAAGGAGGTAAAGAAACTCTGCATTTTGTTAGATATTCAAGTTTATTGTATTGTATTTTCATTTATTGATCAAGTCTTTTTTTAATCATAAAAAATCATTGTTTTCTTTTCCTTGTACATGTACTTTGATTGAATCATATCTGCGCACAATGACAAGTCTTTAAAATTTTGTTTAAGGATATAAAGCTATAGCGAGCTGTCTTTTAATCTTGATAAAAAAGTCAAACCAAGTACTTGTTAAATCGAAAAATATAATGTATGTATATTACATATTAAGTGGGATAAACATGTGCAAATGCATGTGTACACCTACTTCTAATTGCAGTTCAGCATACAATGTATGTATTTAATTATATAATCAAACACTTTATTCCGTTTTTCTTATACATGTATAACACTTAAGTTTTAACAGAGAAATATGTTGTTATCCCTTAATTACCATTTTAAATTAAATGGACTTGTCCACCTTTCAATCTTGATGTTATTTACTAAGTAACCAGTCAAAGTAGTCTCTTAAGCAGACCAAGAGTTGTATATTGTGCCAGTTATAGCTTTATACATTCTTGAAATTTTTCTTGAAATTTTGTTATGTTTTTTTTTTTTTTTAGTAAAATGACTTTAAACAAGTTTTGACAATTATTCAGTTACTGTCAAAATTATTTCTGTTATAAGATGATTATGAAGATTAAAGATATTTCATAAAGTAAAATAATTCTGAAACTGAAAGAAAGATTTGATAAGTTTTTTTTGTTGATAATTATGGTGTAGTAAAGATTTATAGTAGAAGTTAGTTCTAGAAAGAATAATTGTTAATATCATTGTAACATTTTGATTTTATACTAGTTTTGTTTTTTATTCTTCTGTTTTTATGTATGTTTTAATTACAGGGGTTTTGGTTGTAACAGAGATACATTTTATAACAATTAATAGGCTTGTATTCATTTAAAATATAGAGTCAGAGTGTGGTACGTTGTTTAATTGTTGTTGTTGTTTTTTTGCACAGAAACCCTATTTAAGTACTGAATATCATATTGATTAACAATTTAATTCTGGATTAAATATCATTATTATCAATATATGCCATGCATTTATTATATACATGTTCATGTACGCTGATGGTTTTGACATAACAATGCTGCATACTTTTTAACTTCCCATTTATTAACCCAACCTTTTATGGACATTAACTCCGCCTTTTTACATAAAATATCACTGCTTCATCAAATACATATAGTTACCAAAACCTTTACAAACAATTAAATTGGAATTCCCTGCACTAACCTTCCCCCACCACATTGAATATAGCTCTGTTGACTTATACCATATAATTATATAATGATTTAATTGATGTTGTTGATTTAAATTTAGATGTTGGGGACGTCAGATAACAAACCGGCGTTTCTCTCTGACAAGCAGCTAGAGCCAGCATTACGATATCTGCTGAGAAAATTCCCACAAATTGATTCAAAAGCAAGTGCTGTAAGTATAGGTTTTACTTTAAAGAGAATAGATATGTTACAATGTTTTATGCAACGGTTGACAAGAGTTAAAATGCAGTGTAGTTAAAACCATATTTCTACCCATTTACTTATAGATTAAGCCCTCTTCTGGTATATTGTGACACATTTTGGGAAAATTCTAAAGATAGTTTCGTTAATGGATGATTTTTTTTTGTCATAATAAATATATATTTTGTACAGAGGAGATTAACTATTTACATATGTTTTTTCCCCTTATAGCTTGTACCAGTAAACAATATCAAGAGTGAGGTAGTGAAGTCACTGTCACTGTATTACTACACCTTTGTTGACATCATGGACTTCAAGGTAAAAATCTCTGATTAATATAATACATGTATTAAACTAATTCTCATCTGATTTACATATCAAAAAACAGAATATAACATCTGTCACTGAAAAAAAGTTTGGGTTCATTAGCCTGAATTAATATTCTGTATAAAACCTTAAATAGTAAAATTTTTACCAGTCTGGAATTCAATTAACCAGTCTTTTACTATCAAGCAAGTATAAATTTTGATGACTGTTACAGAAATAAAATTTGGAGTTTCAAGTTTTGAAAGAAATGCAAAGCTTGACTCATTACAGAGTAATTGCCCTTTGTTACTTTTCCTTGTCCGGAGCATAACTTGAAAACTACTGGTTGGAATTCAAAACAACTTCATACAATGGTCAAGCTTGATAAGAGGAAGTGCAGTGCATAAGAACCATGACTCTATCTAAAGTCATTACAGAGTTATTGCCCTTTGTTACTTTTCCATTGCTTTTTTTTGTCTGGAGCATAACTTGAAGACTAATGGTTGGAATTCAATACAACTTCATACGATCATCAAGCACATTAAGAGAAAGTGCAGTGTACAAGAACCATACCTCTATCTTGACTAATTACAGAGTTATTGCCCTTTGTTACTTTTCCTTGTCCGGACCATAACTTGAAAAGTACTGGTTGGAATTCAAAACAACTTCATACAATGGTCAAGCACAATAAGAGGAAGTGCAGTGCACAAGAACCATAACTCTGTCCAGAGTAATTATAGAGTTATTGCCCTTTGTTACTTTTCCATTGCTTTTTTCTTGTCCAGAGCATTACTTGAAAACTACTAGTTGGAATTCAATACAATTTCAAACAATGGTCAAGTATATTGCGAGGAAGCGCAGTGCACAGAAACCATAACTCTTTCTTGACTCATGTAAAAGTTTTTGCCCTTTGTTACTTTTCATTGTTCAGTGCATAACTTGAAGACTAATGGTTGGAATTCAATGAAACCTCATACAATGGTCAAGGGCAGTGAGATGAAGTGCAGTGCACAAGAACCATAACTCTATTTGTACAAATTACAGTTATTGCCCTTTTGTTACTTTTTTTGTCAAGTGCATAACTTGAAAACTAGTAGTTTGAATTAAATACAACTTCATACAATGGTCAAGGACAATTTCCTACTCAGTATTGGTTTTCCCAGGGTTAAAATTAGAAACCGCATCGCTTTCAAAACTATGAAAACTCGTTGATGATTGGCTATGTAAAGGATAATTGGTCACTGTTAGATCTAAAAGTGGAGCTTTATATAGAGCTAATTTTAATAAGATTGCAATTCACCAGACTCTGGTGGAACTTTGTAGCTTTTGTTCAGTCTTTTTTTTTAACAAGACCTGGAAGTATTAAATCAGATATTTCCTATTATTAGGGCATTTCTGTTTATTTTACAGGACCATGTTGCAGATTTGCTCACCACTATTGATGCTTGTCAGGTGTTCCTAGATATTGTAAGTAAAATATACATGTACATTATTATATGAATAAGGTTTGCTTACATTGAGATAAAAAAAATCAGATAATATTAAATATTAAAATAATTTTATTTGTCCATCAATGTTAATGCAAATTTCTAGTAAGTCAAACTGATTTTTTTTGCTTGATACAAAGTCTTTCCTAAAATTCTGGAAAAATTACAAGACTTGTGTGCTTTTCAGATAGTGAATACAGATAGTTAAAAAATAATTACAGGCAGTTATACTTGAGTTCCAACCACTTATATGCATTTATGTTTTGGATTAAGACTGTCAAAACTATTGTAGTATAGAAATATATTTGTTTTGTTTTTTCTTTTTTAGACGTTAAACTTCGACTTGGCTAAGAGTTACCTTGACCTTGTGACAACCTATGTGTCAATAATGATCCTGGTTTCTAAAGTGGATGACCGTAAAACTGTGTTAGCACTGTATAATGTGGCCCATGAATACCTCCATCAGTCAGGGTAAGGTATCTGCTGTTTTCCTCTTTAAAGGCCCATTATGCCTCAGATATGTATCATTTTTATTTCTCAAAACCTTTTTATTTTTTGATATCTTGTTACCATTTCTAAAGAATTGCTCATTTGCCACATAGATGAACTATCTTTTGCCTTCTTTGCTCTGTTGACATTCAGTATAATTATAGTGAATAAGTGTTTTGTATGAAAGGAAAATACAATTTTGTTTACATTTGCTACCTCTCCACGTTCAGCGCTACTTTCTTCAGTTGTAAAACATCTCTAAAACTATTATTAAAACATTATTAAACACATGTTTAACATTTCTGAAAAATTAAAAAACTATGAATATTTGAGGCATAATGTTCCTTTAACCCTGAGGTTAACTTGCTAAATTTGTCTAATAAATTTGCCCTACTGTTAATTTTGAACAGTCCATTAAGTAAGAGGGAATTTAATGTCAAAAACCGAACATAAGAAAATATATAAATGGTTCAAGAAATATATAAATATTAACAAGCAAGCTGTAGAGGTCTTCCAAACTTCAGTTAATTGTATTTACAGCACAATAAATATATTTACCCCAGAGTTATTTATGTTTGCACAATCAAATGCTTTTGGTAGATAAACCTTATTTGCTTATGATGTATTACCAACTTACAGGGTTTTCCATATTAACAATGCTGTTAAAATCGATTGTATTTTCAGCCTCTACTGGCTCTAGATTAAAATATCATGCTTGACCCTTTGCCAAATGTTTTCGTGGGCACATCTGTTTCCTCAGATAAAAATGAAAACCCTGCACTATACAGTTTGACATATTGTATAATGTCATGGCCCATAAAGAACACACATAATGCAAAGAAAATATGTATCTGTCTGTGACTTAATCAGAGCTGAAGGTAGAGATTAGGCAAGAAGCAGGGCCTTGTAGTCCTCTGCAAAAGTTTAATGAATCATGCACTGCAGGTCTAAATGCCTCCACCCTTGGGTACATTAGTATCGTAAGGATAATTAAGATAAAAATTTTTCAGACAAGTTTCATGAACTGGGTTTTGTCCTCATTGAAAGATTGGTTATTTTTGATTACTAGAACAGATTTTCATTCAGGCATATATTGTCCCACTTTTGTGGTGCTCTTATTATTAGCATATTTTTCATGAAACAAGCTACAATGTAGTATTCTACAGCTATTATTCACTATACAATTCAGCTTCAAACGAATGAAATCGTTCTGTCTTCCATATTTATTTTCATGTATTGATGCATTTTAGGGACCCATCTTTTCCACGTTTAGGACAGATGGTAATAGAGTATGAAGTGCCAATGAAGAAAATGTCGGAAGAATTTGTACCACACTCCAGGGTAATAATACATAGATAATTCTTGTACTATTTAGAATGTTGAGGCTACAAGAATGTTTAAGCATTATATGTTTAATAAGTTTTATTTAATTAATTTTTGTAAATACTCTAAAATAAATTTGTTAAAGAAGTCCAAGCTTAATAATTCTGATATTCTATTACAAGTTCGTCAATATGTGGTGATAATTGATTAAAAGTTTTTGTTATAAAATTGACAGCTATTACCTATATAATGGTTGTTGAATATTTTAATTGCAGACTACTGGTTATTAATGGCTATGTAACCTGTAAGGATTATCTATAACAAATTTATTATACATGAAGCATCTTTTTAAGAGAAAAAAAGTGAAATATCTTCATAAATTTATAGCAGTTGTGTATATAAAACTATATAAACTGCAAGATTATCCAATGAAAAGCCATGTAACAAACATAGTATAAACTATAATAAAAACATAGTAACTCTTTGACAGGTTTTGATACCAGCAATACTATCACTACATGATATATACAGTAAGAAAACACTTACAGCAGATCAACTGAGGGCTATGCAGGTACTAAGTCTGCTCGCAGAACCACAGAAAATCAGCCAGGTTCCTACAACCACTACGGTAACTCATTTATAACATAATTGTTTAGTATTACTATGTTATAATTAAGAAATAAGAGACACTTGGAGACTGCTTAGAGGCTTGGGGGATATCTTTTTGGGCTGTCGTTCTGTCTGTAGACTGATAAAACTAGAATGTGGGGGCATCCATGACCTACGAACACATTTCTAGTTATCATTGAGTAATCTGATTCACTTAGTACCAAGGGAGTTTATTAAAGACACATATGAACAATTATTATTGTGGCGGCATGGCCGAGTGGTTAACTCTTCAGACTAGTAATTTAATGATTGCTAGCCGTATGGGTTCAAACCCTGACAGAGGCAAGAAGTTGTTTCCTTGGGCAAGAAATTTTACACTCATTGCTCAGTACTGGTTGGTTCCAGGAACGGATTTGAAAGTGCGTTTATAAGCTTATAGCTTCCTGCACAATCGAACTAAAATAAATTCTGTATAAACCAACAATTATTAAGAACTGTTATTGTGTGTGAGCAACATAGTTTATGATCAGATATTATGATCATCGGTAAGTCATATATACATACAATAAATCAAGGATATATCTTTATTAGGATAATTTCCTGATCCTTTCATTTTGGAAAATTTTAGGTAAGGCAAATTTGGTAAATTGCAAAAATATTACTTGCAACAACAGCAAAATTTTAAATAATCTTAACACCATTTTAAAGAAAATGGAAATTTGCTGTGCAGGGGTGTTGAAATATGAATCTTTGCCACTCGCCCATGGAATTTGGTAGAAATTTTCACTTGTCTGCAGCTTTACTTGCCCAGTTATTAACACATGAAATATGTCTGAACTATCTTCATTTTGGTGCTTATTAAATCTGAACATTCTTAAATAATTGTATTGTTTCTCATTGATAAGGGGTAGAAATGCAGTATTTTATATCTTCTACTGGCTCAGATTTTCACTCGTCCACTTACAAGTTCAGTAGAAAAATCTACTTGTCCCCCAGGATAATTTTCGAGTCGGACAAGTCGGGCAAAGGATTTCCACACCCCTGCTGTGGTTGGAGGACTTGTCTAAAGGAGAGAAAAAACGCTATAGAATATTGAATAAACTGTTTTATAAGAGAGTATATCAGTTTTAATGTCAATTATTTGAATCTATTTCAGATCCAGTGTGAATACCTGTCTCAGGATATACTAGAAAGATGGATTATATGTGAGTAAACTTGATTTACCTGATGATGAAAAAACGGGCATTAAATTCACAGAACATTGAAAATATTTTTAAACTCGATTCTATAGTCAGAACCTTGTTCATCGATAGAGTAATCTGGATAATTCATTAACAGTTATAAACAGTATTGTGGGATTGTATTTTAGAAGAATACAAAGTTTTGTTAAAGTGATTACTTAACGATAGTCACAACACACAGTTGTGATATATACATACATGTATATTATTTATATATTGCTGCTAAAAAGTTATTGATTTATTTTATAACATTCAAAGAAATGAGTGGCAGTGTTGCCAATGGCTAACGCGTCAGACTAGTAGTATAAGGATTGCTGACGGCATGGGTTCAAACCCTTTCAGGGGACAAGTTGTTGTTTCCTTTAGCAAGAATCTTTACATTCATTGCTTAGAACTGGTTGGTTCCCGAAACAGATTTGAGAGTGTTTCAATAAGCTTATAGCTTCCAACACAATCAAACTAAAATAAATAATGTATACTTTAAAGAAATGAACTTTTGTGTAAAGTTATTTCGCAACTTTTCACAAGCTACTAAGGTTATATAAGCTTATAAAAGTTTGTTCTGGGCCATATAACCAATCAAATTTTGTCATATCTAAAAATATAGCTATTTTCTTTCTATGATTTTGATTTTACAATATAGTTTTATAAATGTTTTCTTTTACAGTTGGTTTGATGTTATGTCACCAGTACCTACAAGATTCTAAGGCGTGGGATCTATGGAAGACAGCATTGCAGTCTGGCTATATTGTACAACTGTGTAGAGATGAAATTCTTCATATACACAGTTACATAGTCTCCTTCTTTGACAGCTTGAAGGGGTAATCATCAAATATCTAATGTTTGACAGTTTCTAATTTAATTCATAGTACATTTTTTATCCTTCAATTCTGTTTGAAAAAGTTACAAGGGTATTCAATTTGGTTGCTGTCTTTTTATGATCTCTGCATGAAAGCAAATTTTTAATTAGTTTTTGTTTAAAAAAATCAAACTTTTTACTTGAACTTAATCAGTTTACTGGATATTCTTTATGTAGTGGTGAAACAAAGAGAGTAGGAGATATGTCAAATAGTTTATCTTCAGCAGTTTTATGCTGCACTAGCTATACCAGACTTAAAGTTGCCTTGGTGATGTTAGAAAAGTTTTAAGCCAAGCTGGTAGTTGTTTTTCAGTGAGCAACAATGTGACATCTGGCATGGCTTATGAAACAAGCTGAAAAAAAAAAAATCAAAAACTCAAAAATTAACAAAGATTATGATATGAAAATGCATGATATGAAAATTTACAAGACATTTCTTAACAAAGTGTTATACATGTATTTAAAAGTATTGTTTAACCTTCGGTTTGATGTCATTATCTTCTACCCTTTTCCTGTTGAAACTGAAAGCATTTGTCACAAGTAAAGAGACAGGTCTGCACATGCATGTGGTCTGACCGAGCTCTATACTGTTGGCTTTAAGATTTCAGCTTGGTATCGCCAAAATTGATAATGAATAATTCCAATAACAGAAGCTAGCTTTGACAAGGCCATTTAAAAAAATTCAGCGATTGAAGGGTTGAAATTATTCTTTTGGAGGATGATAAATGTTTCAAAATACTGTTTCATTTTATAGACAGAACATGAATAAACGAGTCAATGAAGTGAAGGAATTACAACACCAGGCCTTACAGACCTCGTAAGTATTTTATGTTATAGTATTGTTGAGGTCATACTGTTTTGAATCTCATACAATATTGCATGTCAAATTGAAAAAATTACAAATGTATCAAATCTTGCAGACCTCATGAGTACCTCATGTCTAACTGTCTAACAGTGATGCATGCTATGTTTAAATATCAGTGTGAGTTAAAGGACAAAAAAGTACAACATCAAAATCATAAAGACCTCAGAAATACAAGTATCCCATCAAGATCTATTTATTATTTGTGTTCTACAAAATTGTAATATCATACAGATTCCCATTTCACATGCTTAAATCATACATAATCTAATGTGAAAAAAGAATTGTATCTGTATTTTATATAATTATGTCATACAGAATCTAATGTTGACAAAAAATTTTGTAATGAAAACATTATTATCCCCCGCCGATGGAATCGGGAGGGGGATATAGTTTTGGCGTTGTCCATTCCGTCCGTATCCGTCCGTCCGTCCGTCAGTGCCGCACTCACTAGGACAGTAATTATGTGGCTAGAGGTGACAATAGGTAACTGTTCTTTCTCTTTGCTGTCATTCATTCCGTAATGCTTTTTATGTGGCTATTTTTTTGTGTGGCTAAAAAGAACAATAGAGAGAACAATAGAGTAGCCCACATAATTACTGTCCTGTGAGAACGTCCGTCCGTCCGTTGCCGTCCATGCGGTCTATCCGAATTTCGTTTCCGGAGTAGTTCTCTGCAACAACTGGCTGGAATTCAACGAAACTTTATGGGAATCATCAATATCAAGAGGAGATGCGCATATCGTTGGCTTGTTCCGGTCCGACCCTTTAATTTAGAGTTATGGCCCTTGATTAGTTATGTAGTATGCATATAGAGTTAAAATCGTTTCCGGAGTAGTTCTCTGCAACTACTGGCTGGAATTTCAACGAAACTTTATGGGAATCATCAATATCAAGAGGAGATGCGCATATCGTCGGCTTGTTCTGGTCAGACACTTTAACTCAGAGTTATGGCCCTTGATTAGTTATGCAATATGCATATGGAGTAAAAATCGTTTCCGCGCTACTTCTCTGCAACTATTGGCTGGAATTCAACGAAACTTTATGGGAACCTTCAATACCAAGAGGAGATGCGCATATCTCGCTTGTTTGGGTCAGACACTTTAACTCAGAGTTATGGCCCTTGATTGTTATGCAATATGCATATGGAGTAAAAATCGTTTCCAGAGTAGTTCTCTGCAACTACTGGCTGGAATTCAACGAAACTTTATGGGAATCATCAATATCAAGAGGAGATGGGCATATCCTCGGCTTGTTCCGGTCAGACCCTTTAACTTAGAGTTATGGCCCTTGATTAGTTATGTAGTATGCATATAGAGTAAAAATCGTTTCCGCACTACTTCTCTGCAACTACTGGCTGAAATTCAACGAAACTTTATGGGAACCTTCAATACCAAGAGGAGATGCGCATATCGTCAGCTTGTTCCGGTCAGACACTTTAACTCAGAGTTATGGCCCTTGATTAGTTATGCAGTATCCATATTGAAAAATATTTGTTTCCTCGCTACTTCTCTGCTACTACTGGCTGGAATTCAATGAAACTTTATGAGATACTAAGAGGAGATGTGCATATAGTCGCCTTGTTCCAGTCAGATACTTATAACTCAAATTTATGGCCCTTGATTAGTTATGTAGTATGCATACATCTCATTGTCATTTCCAGATTTTACTATTTAACACAAAGTTATGGCTCTGTTATTGCCCTGAATATTTATCAAGTTCAAAGAATATTACTGTTTATGCCATGATTAATATATAAATAAAGCCTTATGTCTTCAGTTGTTGTGTTGATAATAACCAGTACTCGGCGGGGGATATAAATTCAACGAATTTGCATGTTTGATACAGTTTCTTATGTATCACGTTTAATTTTGTGCATGCCTTATTTTACAAAATAGTCATGTCATATAATTTCCTTTCAAAATATGATACAAAATTTCATAGAATATCTTCCTTTACAATCTTTCATTCTCTGTAATTTTTATGCCATACAATATATACCAATTTCATACATTATTTCCTTGCATATTTCATCATCTTTAGTCATACAGTACTTAATTGTATACAGAATAATTTGCCATACAATTTCTGTCTTACAATATCTTTATTTCTCTATTGAAAATATCATGCAATCTTGAATGCCATGTAATTTTACAGTGATTGTTTTGTTATGTTTCATTCAAGAATTTACTTCTAACAATTACTATAATATATTTTATGTCTATATATACTCATTTGTTTGTAATGATATATTTTCTGTAAAATACAGGTAACTAATGATAACACATTTTTTTACAAATTAACATTCCTACACATTGTGCAAGTAGGTATCAAATTATCACACTTGTGAGCCTGTCCATAAACAGTTAATTTGTCAATGTACATTTCATGAAGTTATTGGTTCACATGGTAATCTTGAATAACTTTCCATTTAAAACTCTGGAATGAGTATCTCTACTTTCTGCTATTTCTTTTTCTGACAAGACGTTATTAACTGTGTAAGTGCTACAATTAATTTGAAGTAAATTGCATCTTGAATTGCTTCAACACAAGACAAATCCATTTCACAAGATTTGAAAAAAAGTCAGATTAATAACAAAAATTGTGAAATGAAATGATATATATAACATTGCATTTTTCTTTATCTTTAATGTTATGGTATTTATGTTTATTTCAGTAATTTGTAAGTAAAATGACTGCAACAAATTCATACTAACGGTACTTTTAGTTCTGTGTACTTTTAGTTCTGTGTACTTTTAGTTCTATGTGCATTGCATTGTAATCTGTGCAAATAACATGGAAGATGGGGCTTTCATTGTTGTTGAAGAAAATAAAATTCCCCTAAAAACTGCTTCATATGAATAGCATAGTTGATGAATAACGCCTGTAAAAGTAGACATGGCCATTATTGAATTATTGGCATTCCTCATTGCTTACAGTTATAACTAAGTAGTTATAGTTTTTAACCATTAATGATTTCAGTGTTTGAATACCAATGGGTATGCTGTCTTTGGGGTCATGATCCACTTCAGAACTTTGAAAAGGTCACTATTATATTAAAAGTGTTATAAAGAATTGAAATGAAAGCAGCATAACATCTTATATAATTGAAAAAAAAACAACAACAAAAAACAAACAATAACATTGATCTTTAGTGTTACTTATCCTGATATTGTCTTTCGGTGTTCTAGCCATTAGATTTATTCTATTTCAAAATCTTATTTCTTAATTTTTATAATTTTTTTTTAGCTTTTTAAGACCTTAATTCCCACAACTTTTCCTACAACTGTTTTTGGATGCTTTTTAGTGATTTTCAAAGTGACCTTTAAAAATCAAATGTATATTTTCTAGCTTGCCTTCACAAAAAAAAAAAAATTCTGGGAAATTGGTTTAACAAAACAAGTATGTTTTGCATTACATGTAATGAAATTCTAAAGTAACATAATATTTGGCCTTTATGTTAGGTTTTCTGTCGGATATCAATATAGTCAATTGACTTATCCCAGTATACTTAACAGAAATTATAATCTCCCTAGTTATAAATTTTAAGTGAACAGATAGTTGGCTTTATATATGTGGTAACAATAAATAGAATAGAGTTATTATACCCCCAAAAACGAAGTTTGGGGGGGTATATAGGAGTCACCCGGTGGTCAGTCGGTCGGTTGGTCAGTCGGGCTGTCGGTCGGTCCAGACGTCCGTTGCATTTTCCTTGTCCGGAGCATAACTTGAAGACTAATGGTTGGAATTCAATATAACTACATACAATGGTCAAGTGCATTGAGAGGAAGTGCAGTGCACAAGAACCATAACTCTATCTTGACTAATTACAGAGTTATTGCCCTTTGTTACTTTTCCACGTCCGGGGCATAACTTGAAAACAACTGGTTGGAATTCAAAACAACTTCATACAATTGTCAAACACAATAAGGGGAAGTGCAGTGCACAAGAACCATAACTCTATCTAAAGTAATTACAGAGTTATTGCCCTTTGTTACTTTTCCATTGATTTTTTTGTCCAGACCATAACTTGAAGACTAATAGTTTGAATTCAATATAACTACATACAATTATCAAGCACATTGAGAGGAAGTGCAGTGCATAAGAACCATAACTCTATCTTGACTAATAACAGAGTTATTGCCCTTTGTTACTTTTCCTTGTCCGGGGCATAACTTGAAAACAACTGGTTGGAATTCAAAACAACTTCATACAATTGTCAAACACAATAAGGGGAAGTGCAGTGCACAAGAACCATAACTCTATCTAAAGTTATTACAGAGTTATTGCCCTTTGTTACTTTTCCCTTGATTTTTTTGTCCAGACCATAACTTGAAGACTAATAGTTTGAATTCAATATAACTACATACAATGGTCAAGCACATTGAGAGGAAGTGCAGTGCATAAGAACCATAACTCTATCTTGACTAATTACAGAGTTATTGCCCTTTGTTACTTTTCCTTGTCCGTGGCATCACTTCAAAACTACTGGTTGGAATTCAAAACAACTTCATACAATTGTCAAACACAATAAGGGGTAGTGCAGTGCACAAGAACCATACCTCTATCTTGACTAATTACAGAGTTATTGCCCTTTGTTACTTTTCCTTGTCCGTACCATAACTTGAAAAGTACTGGTTGGAATTCAAAACAACTACATACAATGGTCAAGCACATGGGGGAAAGTGCAGTGCACAAGAACCATAACTCCATCTTGACTAATTACATAGTTATTGCCCTTTGTTACTTTTCCAGAGCATAACTTGAAAACTACTGTTTGGAATTCAGTACAACTTCATACAGTTGTCAAGGACATTAAAAGGAAGTGCAGTGCACAAGAGCCATAACTCCATTTTGACAAAATACAGAGATACTGCCCTTTGTTACTTTTCCTTGTCAGGAGCATAACTTAAAACGTACTGGTTGGAATTCAAAACAACTTCATACAATTGTCAAGCACAATAAGAGGAAGTGCAGTGCACAAGAACTATAACTCTATCTTCAGTATTTATAGAGTTATTGCCCTTTGTTCCTTTTCTTTGTCTTTCTGGACTTATTACAGAGTAATTTAATTAAACTTCATCAATGGCCCACATTGAAAGGAAATGCAACATATAAGAACCACAACTATCTTTAACCCTTTCCCCCATGAGCATATTGTGAAAAATGGCCGTTTTCACTGAAAAGCCTCCTGTTACAAGTTCAAACTGCTATGAAACTATGAAAAATGCTTCAATTCTAATCAAACTTGGCACAAATGTTGACTGGACCATTGCCTTTGTAGCGACATGCTCAGTCTTAAATTTCCTGTTACCATGGCAACGAGGGGACATCTCAAAATTGCCAAAAATCACTATTTTGCCTCGATTTTTTCCATCAAAATTTATTCAAAGTGCTGCAACTTCTCAAGGGATTGAGATAGAGTCAAAAGCTTTTCAGCGTTGGTTAAACGTTACATTATGATCGACCGGGGGTCATTTTTAGCCTCTCACAAGTCCAAAATTTTCTTGGCGATGAGGGGGACTCCGCCCCCCTTCAAACCCCCCTAACAGAAGGGGGCACATCCCCCTTCTGGCAACCCCCTGATGTATCTTTTGGATGGGGGCGGCGCCGAAAAAGTGCTAAATTTTTTTAGCAACATTTCTCAAACGAAAACTTATGTTTGGAGCCCAAATAGGACATTTTTTCACTATTTGAGACCTAAAAAAGGGGGGGGGGGTCGAAAGTGCGTTGTTTCGCGTATATATGTGGTAAAGGGTTAATTGCCCACAACCATAACTCTATATTTCAATTCTTTTACAAGGTATTCTGTTACTAGTAACATCCTCATTTCCGAAGCAGTCTTGTGTGGGTATTAATCACATTTAGTGATAGTTCTAGTTAGTATCACTGTCTTGATCAGAATAAAATATGCTCATTGAGAAATAATTGGTTACATGTTCTTGGTATGCAATAGTCTCTTCGGACATGAATAAAATAGTTCTGGACACAAGTTAATACTCTTGTGCCAGCTATACTTGCCATCTTGGATATGTATATTGGATTACAGAAAGTCTATACCAGTCTAAGGTCAAGACAGTGAGTTTTATAATAACATAATAAATAATTACGTAACATATAATGTGTACCTAAAGCTTGGAGGATCCATTGATGCTACACGTACAAAGCTTTAGTGAGATTATGATTATTCATCAAATTATGACAATATTCAAGTGTATCCGCTCAATTAGATAGTCATATCATTGATGTTTATTTGACCAGTATTAAAACAGCACTTGAAATGGTGGAAGGGCCGGCCCATCTTTTTGTACTTTCAGAGAACTTTTTTCAGAAAGAAGTAGCGGGAAATAATATACTTTATGGGGAGGGAAATGGGGCTGAATTTTAACCCAAATTGGCCCTTAAAGATACACTGGCAGTTTTAAAATGTGTACAAATTCATCCTTACAAGGATTAAAGTGAAACTGCAAATTCTTTTTTGTAATGAGCCATTCTAGTTTAGGCGCCATAAGGTTGTATATTATGGCGGACTAACTTAACATTTCCTGTTAAAATGATAATGAATTGTTTTAAAATGGATAAATGGCTAGCAATTTAATGAAATGCAGCAGGTTAAGGAATCTACCCAAAGTTGTTATAATTGTATTAAGATAATAAGGCAAAAAATTCATGTTGAACTCTTGCTTTATGTGTTAAATGGTTGTGGGACAAAGATGTTTTTGTCACATAAGTGTTTATGCTTTAACAATAGTGTGTTTCCAGTGTAATGTTTAATTACTATGAAGCATACAATGTCACATAATTCAAAACTAGTTATGAATATGTAATCTTAAATTTTACTCATAGTGGAATAGTTAGCAAGTCGGTCTTAACTTCTGATCATATGGCCTCTAAAATAAAAACAATATATTCCATTCTGGCAAAAATCTGTTTATGCCCTGGGTTTTGTATTAATTTCTGGATGGTTTTATTTTCTGGATGATTTAAAAAAAAGGCATGATACTAACAATAATAATGCTCTGAGATGACAGCTTATTGTATTGATGAACAAACAACCAAACTTACTTAATGTTTAATTGCTTTAACAGACCAGGATTACACCGAGAGAGGAGAAAGTTTCTACGAACAGCTCTCCGAGAATTGACACTGATATATACCGATCAGCCAGGCCTGCTTGGACCCAAGGCTCTGTATGTGCTACAAGCACTTTCAATGGCTCAGAATGAGGTACACTGGCTCCTGCGACATTTCCAGAATCCACCTGGCCGTAGACACAACGTCAAAATGAACCAAGAGGACTTTGTTGACAGGTAAGAACTTTGTTAAATAGTGGTATAAATTTTAGCATATTCTTTTTTGACAACATATAATAAGGTGTATTTATATTTATTTGATGAATGTATGTAAATGAAATATTTTAAAACTATTACTAAGGAAACAGAACGAATTTTGAATGTTTTGTGGTATGACATGTATAGTATGGTATGGAGTCCAGATGCACAGTAAAATATTACAGGCAACAATTCATGCAATATTATACCCTATCACTCTCAAAGTCAAGAGTAATTTTCATTCTGATGTGTTAGTGCAATATAAGAAAAAGAAACCGTTGTTGGACTATAATTTGATCGGTGTCTTGGTCAGGAAGAGCTTTTGGTGAATATGCCTTTGCTTGAATATTTGATACCTGTACCAGTGCCACTTTGAATTGTTAATACCTGTGCAAGGGCTACTTTAAATGTTAAATACCTGTGTGGGTTTGTAATATTTGATCAGGTGGTTTTTGTTAAGAAATGTAATATCTTTATTGTATTTTTTTACAGGCAAATTCCAGAACTGTTATTCCACATTGAAGAGTTAAAGGGTAAGTAATATTATTATACAGAAGTAACAGCATTCGTTGTTACCTTGATAGATAAAAAGAGTAATGTATGTCTTACGGTTATGATTTGAAATAGGAAATGTTGATTATCATGATGGTATATAAAGTGGGTTCTGCAGAATATTAAATAGTAACTTGTAAAATCATTGTCCATAAAATTCCTGATCTCTCTAGATATTGTTTTGTATGACAAATTTATTTTAGGACTTCTGTAAAAGTGAAGTTATATTTTTGTAGGTTTGGTAAAGAAGTACCATCAAGTTATGCAGAGGTACTATGTACAATACCTAGCAGGATATGATGCTGTCTTGTTGAATCAACTTATACAGGTATAAACATTATAGTATTTCCCATACAAAAATAAGGCATAAAATTAAAGAGATTGTATAGCAATTATTCCATAAAAGTACCCTCGATTTGAGATTTTTTGGCTAGTTTTCCTAGAAATGCACCATTACAGTTTCTTAGGCAACAAATAAAATGAAATATGCTTCATTGGAGATTCTAAACTTTTAACAATCTTCATAGAAATACTTCATTTGAGATCCTCTGGAAACAGTTCCATAGAAGAACAACATTTCTTAGATACAGTTAACCCCAGTTTGAGATTTCATGGCAACTTTTCATAGAAATACATCTGATTTCATATTTATATAACATGTTTAAAATAAATGTACTCAACTTGATTTGATGAGGAAAGGTCCCAGTTACAGGAATTGAGATATTAACGTTTAATGTTATATAATGTATTTGTAACAGAACTTGAACATGTGTCCAGAGGATGAGTCAGTGATTTTATCATCAATATCTACATCTATAGCAGCTCTCACTGTCAAACAAGGTAACATTTCCTATTATAATGTCCTGTTAAACAAATATGTGGTGGCATGGCCTGTTGGTTAACATGAAGGACTATTAATCTGAGGATTGCTGGCTATGTGGGTTTCCTTGAGCAAGAAATTCATTGCTTAGTACTGGTTGGTTCCAGGAACGGATTTTAGAGTGTTTCAATAAGCTTACAGCTTCCAACACAATAAAACTAAAATAAATTTGTATAAACTAAACAAGTACACATTGTCTTTAATGCTACCTATGTCAAACAGTTTGTCTCGGCCAACTGATTGTAACAGTGTTTCCTGATTGTAACAGTGTTTCTTTCATACAAACTTGTATTGGTTTTACCAGTTTATAAGTTTGTTTTGTTTTCATTAAAAACCCCTAAGCTGCTTCTTGTTAGCAAGCAAGTAATTGACATTTTCTCCACATAGATAATGATAAAATTGTTCATCACATACCAGTCAGCTTCTGCAACTCTGTAAAAATGCTAATGCATTACTGTGCATGTAGTTTCATGTGATGTCATTTGTGTTGTACAAACATAGTGTAAATGCATGATTAATATTAACCATACATTATAGGTGTGTAAATAAAAAAAATATGATTATCTCTACTTTTAACAGTTCTTATTATTTTGTGTATGTGCCTATCTTCATGATAATGTAAGATTATTTTCATATCTTAAATTATAGCATGTATTTGTAAAAACCTTTTTTTTCCAGTTGAAGACAATGAAATGTTTGATTTTAGAGGTCTAAGGTTGGATTGGTTTAGACTCCAGGTAATTGTTTTCCAAATTTCCATTATCATTAACTTTACAAGTGCCAAATTTCCATTTCTTAATCTGTTAATAAAAAAATTTATATTGTTTTTAAATAGTTAAGTATTAATCTTTAATGCCCTCACCTTGGTCTTGTCACTGCTGTCACACTTCAGTTAAGTTTTTTGTGCTATCTCAAAAATTGCCTAAGAGAATTGGATGAAACGTCACACATCTGAGAGTATAATAGAAGGTCACTATCCAAGACCCATAACTCTAACATGGATTTTGACAGAATAATGGCCCTTTTTGAACTTTTTTGCTCTTATTTTACTATCCTACACTGAGAATAGTGGAGCGTGTTGTTCCTAATGACAGCTATTGTGTTATTACTATTTTCATTTTTATTCATATGATTCTGATGTGGAAGAGACCTGTACTAAAGAGACACAGTTCATTGTAATATATGCATTCATTTTGTTAATTATAGGCATATACAAGTGTGAGTAAAGCTGGATTGATATTAAAGGACCATCATGACCTTGCCAAACATTTAAATACTATAGTATTTCACACAAAGATGGTTGACTACCTGGATGAAGTCCTTAATGAAGCTTCAGACCTCTCCATATACTGGTCAGTATTTCAAATTTTATTATCTTTGATAGCAACTTCTTATTTTGTGGAAATTATTTTATCATATCTACCATTCAAAATAACTCTGCAGTAACATATCAGTTTAAATTGATCCAGTTATGATAGTTTTACAGATTATTTTTTCCTCCCAACCCCACAGAATTTCTTGGATGAACATATTCAGCCCCTACTGTTGGAACTGTCCTTTAACAATTTTGGGGATGTCAAAATGAAAATCAGAAAGTTGGTGGGCCAACAGTATACAGCCTACTTGGATTGCATTAAAGCGACAGCTAGCCTTTTTCTATACTGGTGGCAAAAGGCTTTGACTCTATATGAACATTACTTATTTGAGCGGCCATAAGAATTATAGTCAGGCCAGTATATGTATGGATGCTGACTTGCCTGGCTGTACTAGTTCCATTGGCCTGCCATTAACCCCATTATGAATTAGAAATGGTTTTTGCAATTAATGTTTTTTTTATATTAATTTTTTTCAGTTTTTACACCACAATATTTGAGCACCAGTTTAAACAGTGTATGGAATTCCCGGCTCAGCACAGATACTGTATTGTGTTCCCAATGATCTGTGGACATTTCATGAATGCTACACATTCTCTCTGTCCTGAAGAGGTAACAATAATACATATTTTACTTCCTATATAAAAAGATATGTGATTAGTTTCATGGCTTTAAAACAAGACTTTATGCAGCACAGGTCTTCCTTAGTCAAAGTCATGAGAATCATGTTGATTTAGTACACAACATGTAAGTTAACACATGGGTTGTTTTTTTTTCACAGTGACCTATCATAAATGAGTGGCAGTGTGGCTGTGTGGTTTATGCATCAGACTAGTAATCTAAGGATTGCTGGCAGCATGGGTTTGAGCCCCATCAGAGACAAATCCATTGTTTCCGTGAGCAAGAAACATTACACTCATTGCTTAGTACTGGTTGGTTGCAGGAACAGATTCAAGAGTGTTCAAGAAGCTTATAAGTTCTAACACAATCAAACTAAAATAAATTAATATAAACTAATTGTAAGCTTTGAGCATAACAGTTATATGGAACTGCACCACTAAAACAATAGTTTGAAAGGTTGAAATTGGCTAGATCTTCACTATATATCAGTGCCAAGTTTCAGTTTAAATTTTATGTTTTTTCCTGGTAATGAGCAAAAGAAATTTTTATGTTAAGAAATTCTTTAGCTAGAGTATGGAAGATTTTTAACATTTTACTAGTAAAATACTGTTGAAGTCTTGAGGAAACTTATTTCCACATATTTAAAATGATGTCTACAATTGTTTATGTCAGAGGCATTCTATTGGTACTACAAGTGTTCAGTATGCTCACTGGTTCCTTAAAGACATGGCTGATGAGGTGAACCAGGTGATAACAGCAATCTGTGAGGAACAGTGTCTTCTTAATTACAAGGTCAGTGATTTATAAGTTTATTTAATCCAATTTAATCTAGCCAGAAATCTGCTGGAAATAGAAATGTATTATATCTTTTATCACTAATATAGAGGCCATGTCAACTTGTTCATTCCTGCAGTTTGACCTGGATCTATATTATTGGTAGCTCAAATTTTAGCTCGCTGTAGCACAACATACTCAAGGAAGGTCTAAAAATAGATTTATTGGGTAGGAAATCAAACATTAATGTTAAACAGAAGGTTTATTCAAAATTGTATGAAAATTGTTAACTTAAGACATTTGCTATGTCACTAACTTTAAATTATTTGTCCCTACAAGGGATTTTGGACTTGTTCATATGTAGAAGCATTACATCCTCCTTTATTGATGGTCCTACTTGTGGTCCAGCCTATGCCTGAAATTATTGCATGAAGAGGTACCAGTGGTCCACCCCTTGCCAATGATGTTGAAATGTCACCAATATGACCTTTTTGTTGTCTGTATGAGTTAAAACCCATTAAAATCAATACAAACTTTTCTGTTTTATATAGCTATTACCAAAGCATAGTGTACAGTTGAGTCAGAAGAAGAAGCCAGGAAAAGAGAAGAAGAAAGACAAAGACAAGGATAAAGAACCAGAGAAACCTGGTCAAGAAAGTGCACGGAAAAACAGAGAAAATTTCACAAGGTAAATGTGCAAAATTTTAAGTACATGCAGTGTATGTAGATATCTTTTTCCGAAAATTATTAGAAATTTATATGTTTATTAATGTGCATGAAGAAAAGAAGACTGATTTGGTAAATTGCATACAAATGATGAGAGTTTTGTCTGTAAATGGAACCATGAAGGCCGACTGTTAACTTGGATAAATGTATTTATAATGACTCTTTTACAAATTGTTTTGTTGATGACTTGAATTAGTGCACCACCTAGTTCAATAGAGAGAACATCAGATTTGTATTCAAGTTTTCACTTGTTTGATTGAATATTTCTTTGTGGGACTAGCAGTTACTGAGTTAGCCCATTGTAGGAAATTGTTAATTACTCGTTTACTGGTTATCTAGGAAAGCTATTTATGTTCTGTCAAGACAGACACAAAAGTGTCACCACATATTACTAGATTAAAAAAAGAAATTGAAGACCCACCAAAAGAAAAAGGAGATTTAACATCCAAGTTAGCAACTATGTTTGTTAAAAGAGTTGCTTGAGTATAGTTCATCTGTATTTGTGAAGAAAACAAAACCTCTGTCCTTTTCAATTTTGACAATCAAACTATTAAACTATCACAAGCCATACTTACTAGTTTTTCATCACAGTCAAACAAATCTTCATATCATAGTCAATACACTTGTATATTATAGTAACAATATATTTAGTATATGTTTCTTTGCATATTTAAGGATGGATAAGTTACACATGGCCCTCACAGAGCTATGTTACGCTATCAACCACAGTTCCGTGATCCAGGTATGGGAACACGGCTTTGTCCCACGTGAGTTCTTCCATCAGCAACTAGAGACACGTTTCAACAAGTAAGTTCATAACAGTGGTCACGAATTAACAAGCTTACCCCATGCTTATAATGCTATATCCACTGATTTTATTTATAAATTAGGCAGCTACAGACTGTTTGAAATTTTGTGGTAGAATATTATAACATTTGGAGTTGTGCTAGAAATATTTATACTGTTTGAAGTTGTGACAGAATTTTGTTTGTGCCCTGGGCTTCTTAACACATAGGGTTGATGGCGTCATGAAGTTTTATGTTATACATTTATAATAAAAAGAAAGATAAACTGCATAGATTACATTTAAAGCAAGGGACGATATGTGCTAAAATATATATATTTTATATATTTTGATGATCATTCTGATATACATATGTTTTGTTTTAAGAATGTACACATTCAGAGATGTGTTTAAGGACAAGTATGTATAAATGCCTGGTCATATAGAAATCTAGAAATTTACCTTAAATTGCATGATGTTTCTTCAGTTTTACCTTTTAGATTGTATTTTCATGTTTTATATATCGCCCAATCTGACAAAATTATGAGATCTTTCATTAGTGTAAACGTGGAATTAGGGTTGGGCTCTGTGACCACTTCATTATTGTTACTGACCTCCAATCATTGTTGTTGAATTGTGCTGGGCTTCTATTCAGGTAATTAATCAATCAAAAGTCAGTTTTTCTACTCAGATGTCCACTTGTGCTTGAAATAATTCAGAGAAAAAGCTCGGGATTTAATCTTTCTCCAGTAATACTATAAAGACTTCATACAAGCTTTGCATTATGACCCATTAACAAATAAAAACACATGGGAGGTCACAAAATTGTGTTTTTGGTAAATATAAGACAGAAAAAAGCTTTGTCTGAAACTTACAATAACTTGCATTTTTTCACATCCACCATGTTTGAAGCCTGGATTAGAGTCCATAGTCTATGTGCCTGATTTTTTTTTAGGTTTTATCCTGGATTTTATATACAATCACAATTTAATTTGAGAGACATAATTCAGAATTTCTTTCCTCTAATTTAAGTGAACTTATTGGAGAAGTGAGACCATGTAACAGGAAATTGGTCAGATATAGTATTGTTCCATTGATACTGGTGTTGATGTAAAATATTACTTTTCCACTCAATTTTTAAACAAAGAGATATTTTTTTTACGAGCATTGTTGCAAGTTTTGATGAATATTGGAAACAATGCTGGTATTAAATTAAGAAACTAGGTCCATAGTTAGTGTACATTTAATTATAGCAGACATATTAGAATCCCAAGTCACTACATCCCACAGTCCTTCATTTACATGTGAAAGATTTTGTAATTTTGCCAGATGTGTTATTTTGCTAATTTCACAAATACAGAAAATAGAAGAAAATAATGTGCAATTAAGGAGCTATTAACACCAACAAGAAAATAATATAGACAAAATGTGCCTTTAAGGATCTTATTTTCTTACACAAGAAAAGGTTATTTACAGAACTGAAATATTTAGACTGTTATATATATGAGTTAAGTTAAATGTTTTTATGAAACAACTGTTTTATATCTAGCTAGCTTACAGAGTGTTGGTGGTTCTACTCAGATGCCCATTTGTGCCTTAAATAATGCACAAAGTTGTGAGGTCTTCATATGGGAAGTCACCATATGATCTTCATGATGTTGGTACAATGTAAAACCCAACAAAAAAAAGAATGTTTTACTGATAAATTGTTGAGTACATCAATGAATTCCCTATCATCTGAGCTTTGGTCACACAGAAATGCCAACAAAGATCTGGTATGAAGAATGAAACAATTAAGGCTAAATTCATACAAATTTGATGGGCATAAGGCCACAGTATACAAAGAGAGAGAGACACACATTAAATATTCAGGATCTGTTATATTTACTATGTTAAATTTTATCACAGATGGTCATTTTGGCTACAAGGAATAGAAATTGAAATTAAACCCTGGGAAACTTCATAAATTTTCATTTAAATTTGTACACATTATAATCTGATTAAAATCAGCTTTTTAATAATTGTATGCTTCAAGAAAATGTAAGATTTGTTAAGCCAAATTGTTGTATTTAAATGGTTTTAAAAAAGAAGCTTTGACTTGTCTGTAAATTCTACAACATACATACATTATTCAACTGTTATATTAAAGGCACTCCTCTGAGGTTTTTCAACATGACAGGACCTTTTTTAAAGATTTTTATATTGTTTGATAGGTGATGACAAACAACTTGAAACAAAATTTCAGATCATTCAATTTCTCAGTTTTTCAAGAATAATAATTTTAGTTGAGCAAATTGGCCTAAAAAAAATGAAAAGTGTTTAAAACTTAATTTGTTCAGCTAAGTTTAAGTCATTATCTTTTGCGTATCTTTCTGAATTAAAAAACCCAGTTGAGCTGTGTAAGCTATTCAAATTTTAGGTTTTTAAACAGTTGAACCTCGATGAAGCTTCTTTAACCTTTGACCCAGCTGAATATGTGTAGTTTATTTGTCCTGCTTCTTTTAAGTGATTTCAATATCAAAATACAAAATAAAACTTACAATCAGTATACTAGAACCTGGACTTAAGGTTATAAAGAAATTCTCTTAGCTCAAACTCAGATCTCAGGTATTTGATTGGTCAGTAACTGCTACAGAATGTACACTGACTAATGAAAATCCTTAGATTTTAGACTGAACTTAGATGGGGGGTAGGAAGTTTTATAACCTTGAGGCCTGGTCAAATTCTGGCTCTATACTGGTGGCAAAGGACAATAGAAAGTGAATGGTTAAGGATTATGATTCAGCCAAAGTCTAACATGTATCGTGTTTATGTATTTTAAAAGATTTTTTTCCACAGGTCTATAGGGTCAAATATATTGTATATTTGCTATAGTAACTTATGTATAAAATGCTTTTTCTGCTTCTGGATTTCACTTTGCGATTTGCATATATAAATGACAAGAGCAGCGTAACCAGTCTATTACTTGTATTGACTTTGAATTGACTGTACCAATAGTCATGAAAAGTTACGACATTTCTGTATATATATAAATTATTCACAAATTGTCTGTCAAGGCATGGAAAATGTTATAGATATTAAATAACCACTCACCTATTACATATACATCACTCCAAAAGTTTGATTAAACATTGATTGGCAGGCATAATTCCTCTCTCGTCACATATTGAGTGTCTTGCTGGAATTTTAAACTTTTTGTTGTAGAGTGATCAAAATACTATTATTATTATTATTAAGCAAATAAGCTGATGGCAATATTAATACTGCCACTAGAATACATACAGTTCATCTGCAAAATCATTATTATTCATGGAGCACTAATTTTTGTGATTTCCTGAATAGGTCAATCCACTCAATAGATTACCCTCACTCACGTAAGTTTTAAATCGGTTTCTTTTATGACATTAAGGTTTTCATTTTGCCTATAGATTATTCTTAAGTGTTTGTGTCTAAAATAAATCATGAAGCGGCACCTGAGGAATTACTACTCAAATAACCATATGAATGCGTTCAAGTATTTGTTTAGAATGCGTGGCCAGGAAACAATAAAATAACAATCTATTTCATATTTGTCAGACATTAAAATTGCTATGATTAGAATGCTAAAGATACAAATATGCTTGAAAAAATTTTCTAAAACTTTTGGAGTGAAGTATATATATTCTTTCATAATACAGTATATATCCAAGTTAGATTTTTACACTGCTGATACATGTATGGCACAAAACTTTGACATATATGCATTATTAGTATAGGCATGAAAGTTTTAACCAAAAATTATGTCAATATTGTTCTTTTCCCTATTAATAAGGTAGCAAGCATGTTTTATTTCAGATTAAGTTGTTTGTTTATAGAACTAGGCTGATGCCCTAGTTAGAGTGAAACAGTGTCAAATTTTGTTTGATTAGTGCTAAAAGATGATGTTTTTTTTTCATTTTCAGTGTATCAAGTTTATTTGAATATTATAATTGTCAGGTAGATTTGTTTGTTTTGTCAGCGTCGTAATTGCCTAGTGTTTTTAATGTGTGAGTTTTGAAAATTTTACAACACAGTTATCCCAGTGTTTTGTAGTATTCATAACTAAACAGAATTAGTGTAAAAGAAATGAGTTTGACTGTATCAGATTAGATCTACAATGATCTATTTTGTATGCTGTAGATGAAATAAGGGAAGTCATTTTATGATTAGGTTGACCGTGTCTGCCTCAATACCCAGGGATTGTAGGTTCAAACCTTACTTAGGTCATGACCATGTTGCCTTGTATAATACCGGTACTTGTTGGTTCCAGGAAAGCAGGCTAGAATAAATTAACTATACTAAATAAGTTAGTGTACATTCATTGAACACTTAAAGTGTCAGTCTTTTTGCTATCATGTTTTTAGACTCAATTTATAATACTACTTAGAAATAATTTAGATTTAAGTAAATTAATATCGTCATCATGTCATTGTGTAGTTCACAATTGTTTTTCAGCTTCATTTCAAATTTGGCTAAGACTTTTCTTTTTAAAGTTCCACATCGGGGTCTGTGCAAAGATTTTTATTTTGAAACAGACTGTAGTTTTTTGTATTACCTATAAAATCATTGATAGGAATTTGAAAAATACTATGTGTAGTATTTTAAATTATCGATACTATCTTAGAGTAGAATTATGAAACAGACCATAGCATTGAATATAATTATTTTTATAGTGAAAGGAAAATGAAACAGACTATAACAGTACACTAACTATAATTTCAGAGCACTTGTTGGAATGATGATGTATAACCCAGAGACCAACGAGATTGCAAAACCATCAGAACTTCTGTGTAGTGTGAAAGCTATTATGAGTGTTCTACAGTCTATTGAAAACTATGGTATGTGATATATAATACAATATAGTTTATATTAATACAACATTGGCTATGACAACATAGTTACACATGTAGCTTAAAAATTGATCTTTAGTTTAGCAAGGTCCATAATCATATTCTTTCTTTGTTTTTGAGGAATCCATCCTACTAGGACAAGGAAGGTCAGTAGTTTTACTCATGTCCTAGCTTTTTCCAGAATTAGTTTACAAAAAAAGATTTTTTAGATCTTCCTTTACCACTAAAAAAGAAGAAAGGTGTAGGGTTAGGACACCATACTTACTCTGGAGGCCAATCTATTGAAAGATGGGATTGTCTTTTGGCTTCCTTAATCCCTACTTGTCCAATTACTGGTGAGAAAACCAGCAATCATCTGGTGTGACTTGTAGGCTGAAAGGCATTTGACAGAAAAAAAGAAGCAGCTGTAAATTTGACTTATGACCCAAACAATGTGTGAAAAAAGAAAATGTTTAATTTCTTTTAAAAAAAGGCATGGTATGTGATAATTTATTAAATATTCCTGACAAGATTACACCAAGCTTAGGTTTGATAGTAGGCCAGATATTATTGAAGGAATAGTAGAATATTGTGACTTTAACTTTCAGTTCATATTGACATTGCCCGTGTGTTCAACAATGTACTTCCACAGCAGACGCAGCCATTGGACAGTTTTAGCGGAGAGAAAACCATTACTGCCAACTATACTAACTGGTAAGCTAGTTTGCATAGTAAAATTGCATTTGTGAAGTAGAAATGAGTAAAAATTATGAATTCCTTGTTATTATTATTTTGATATATATTTAAAATTTGATTTATTTGGCATTTTTTCAATTCACATTGGTATTGTTTAAGTACTGATGAAACCGAATAGTAGAATAGCAGTTTTATTGGAAAATACAGTAATTTGCTCAGTTAATAGTATATTATTAAGACATCTTGAAATTTGTTTAAGACAGAGGTGATTAATTAAAGTAGATAAGTCAGTTTTAATTTAATGTTATCCATTTGCATACTATGATAGGTGAGAATACATGTTGCAAATATTAGTTAGAATCTTGCATGGTGCTCAGTGAAACATTCTAGTTTACACATATCCATCAATCATGGACTGGAGATATTTATTTCAAGATTACATTTGTGTTTCATTAATATCCATTTATATTCTAAGATTTTTCTTAATTTAATTTAAAAGTGCTATGGATTTATTTTGACTTCTTTTTACAATGCCTGTCAAAAAAGATTGAAACAGGTAAGCAGAAAAAAGTCGATCTAGTGTTTGTGTGTGTGTGTGTGGGAGGGGGGGTTGCTGGTTTTGATGAAATTTAAAACTGATTGTTTTCAAATGATTTAATGTTTCAGGTACCTAGAGGTGTTCCTACGCCGTGTGACATGTAATACTGGTCAGATAGTGTACTCACCAAGTCAGAAGGCATTTGTTAGTTTGTCACAGGATGGACAACAGATTCCTTTTGCAGCAGAGGAATATGCTGATCTGTCAGGTTTGTTAAAGCTGCTCATTTCCAGATTCATGCCAATTTTCATGACAATTATGAAAATGTATTTAAAAGTAGAAAATAAAATGTGTGAAGTGAACAAAATAGTAATTTACACATTGCAAATAATATATAATCAATGTAAATTACTAAAAAGAGGTCAAAATACGCAAAAATAGCCCTTATTGAGATAGTTGCAGAAGAAATATGGTGAAACAAAACCTGGAAAATTATTTATTAATTGCGTATATAATGTAAATAATTACTTGAATCATGAATCTTTTAACTTTTCTTAAAATCTTGTGTTACTTCGCTCAAGTTGACAATTGAAAACGCTGAGACCTCCAAAATTATTACCACATTGTGCTCATGATGTTTACCCACACATTAAAATCTCATCGGAAACACATAAAAAAAAATTGAAAGATTAGCAGGAATTATGTTCTCAATCTTTAGATTATGGGGGTAAAAAGATCAGATATTTCATATGTGTTGCGTGAGAATTATGAAGATGTGACATTTACTGTTGATGTGTGTTGAATGAGCAATTTTTAGTGGGTTTATTTATTTTTGCAGAGTTGAAAGCCCTTGCCGAGCTTATTGGTCCATATGGTATGAAGTATATGGGAGAGAAACTCATGTTTCATGTTGCTAACCAAGTCGATGAGTTAAAGGTAACTTCATTTTGTCCATAATTTGACATTGTTATAAAGTTAGGTCATTTTGTCTGTTATTATAGGTTTAATTGTGAAACAGCATTCAATTCTTGAAAATTGGGAGTGATTTTATCTTAAAATACTTGATTTTCGTAAGATGAAAAAAGAAAGAGAGCACCTGTTTTGTAGCGAATATTGGCAGGATATTGTTATAATTTGAGGACCGCATGTAAAGTTCTGCTTAAAAAGTAAAGATGAGAATATAATGGATATGTTTAGAATCGGCCTGCCCTGCAATTCGCAGCAGAGTTTTAAGCTTTTACAAGTAAATCTGTTAGACTTTTTCTATTGAAAAAGAAACTATTTAAACAAAGCCTGCTCACACAGTGGCTGAGAAACCCAATTTAAACAAAGCCTGCTTACACAGTGGCTGAGAAACCCAATTTAAACAAAGCCTGCTTACGCAGTGGCTGAGAAACCCAATTTAAACAAAGCCTGCTTACACAGTGGCTGAGAAACCCAATTTAAACAAAGCCTGCTTACACAGTGGCTGAGAAACCCAATTTAAACAAAGCCTGCTTACGCAGTGGCTGAGAAACCCAATTTAAACAAAGCCTGCTTACGCAGTGGCTGAGAAACCCAATTTAAACAAAGCCTGCTTACGCAGTGGCTGAGAAACCCAATTTAAACAAAGCCTGCTTACGCAGTGGCTGAGAAACCCAATTTAAACAAAGCCTGCTTACACAGTGGCTGAGAAACCCAATTTAAACAAAGCCTGCTTACCCAGTGGCTGAGAAACCCAATTTAAACAAAGTCTGCTCACACAGTGGCTGAGAAACCCAATTTAAACAAAGCCTGCTTACGCAGTGGCTGAGAAACCCAATTTAAACAAAGCCTGCTCACACAGTGGCTGAGAAACCCAATTTAAACAAAGCCTGCTTACACAGTGGCTGAGAAACCCAATTTAAACAAAGCCTGCTTACGCAGTGGCTGAGAAACCCAATTTAAACAAAGCCTGCTTACACAGTGGCTGAGAAACCCAATTTATACAAAGCCTGCTCACACAGTGGCTGAGAAACCCAATTTAAACAAAGCCTGCTTACACAGTGACTGAGAAACCAATATGACATGACTGGCAAAATCATAGATATTGTAATATGTGATGAAACTCATTGTAAAACATTGAGTGTTTGTTGACTCATTGAAATGTTTATTTTAGAAACTTGTGGTTGCAAACAAAGAGGTGTTGGCCCAATTAAGGACCAGTTTTGATAAACCAGAACTTATGAGGGAGCTCTTCAGGAAGTTAGTCAGTGAGTACAAATTTAGTGTAATGTGTACCTAATAGTTACTACTCCTTGATATTCTTTTTTAAAAATGTTGTATTAAGCAGAAACAAGTCATTTCATCTGTTGTATTAAGCAGTAACAAGTCCTTTCATCCTTAAGATGATTGATTTCATTTTGATGCAGGTTTCTTTTCTTGATTTCTGCCGAGATGATTGTTTAATTTGAAAAGAAGAATAAGTAAATTTCAACACTTAAAGCTATTGGTTTAAATATGGAGAAACAAATGAAGGGACATGTCTGTAATTTGAGGAGAGTGAAAGTTATTTTATTTGAATAAAAAAAGTTTTAACTTTTACTATTAGAGTAATAAAAAAGCTTTGACTTTTACTATTAGATAGAAAAAAGTTATAACTTTTACCATTAGAATAGTAAAATACTTTGACTTGACTTTAACTATTAGATAGAAAAAAGTTTTAACTTTTACTATTTGAATAGAATATTCTTTTAACTGCATCTCTATGGATATTGTTTTCATAGATAAAAGAGGCTAGAACGACTATTTTGTTTGCTAGACAGGTTTACCTTCTCTTCTTTATAAAAGTTTCAACTTTTGCGACTTATAGATGTTGGGGTATAATAATTGATTAGAGGTTTATTGGATGTCTCACATTAAGATGTTAAAGTTTGAAAATGTACTTAGAAGGTACCAAAGTAGGTTCAAGCTGTGACAGCGTCTTCGATTCTTTTTGTGAGAAAGCTATCCAGCTAGCTTACTGAACATTGGTTGTTCTACTCAGGTGCACATTTTAGCCTGAAATAATGTGCGTTGAATCATTTGAGGTCTTCCTCCAGCAGTAAAGCTTGAAAGGTGCAGTATGACCTCTATTGTGTTGGTGTGAAATTAAATCAAGCTAAAAAAGGGACTGAAGGTTGCAGTTGTGCCACCAAAGTAGTGCATTGGGTCATCCTAAATTAGTAAAGCTTGAAGGTTACTATACAATCTTACATGTTAAAGTTGAACCATACAAAATTGAAAAAGAAAGTAATGATTAAATTTCAAAAATGCCTTGATTAAATCCTAGAATAATATTTTATTTTAAGAGCAATGTAAGTTTATCTTTGAAAATTGTGTTTATACAACTGATAGTATGGCAAGATGTAAGGCTACTTATGTGTTAAAAAAATAAATTTATCACATTTTCTTATCATAAATAGTATGCAGTATTCTTGTCAAAATGATTGTAATTACTTAATGAAGATTTTGGTGTCTAGCTTGGGGGATGGGGATTATAAAGCTCTTTTAAGGGTTGTATCTAAATTTAAAATAAGATGCAGATTAAGGTTGATATAATATTTTGTTTAAGTGATATGAAGATATTTTTCTGCTTGTGTCATCTGGATATCTCCATAGGACTTCTGAAAACTGAAGTTCCTCTGTCCTTTAAAATTCTTTCTCTGTTATAACAAATATTATTTATATTTATCATTATAGAATTAGATCAAGAAAAAATGGAGTCATGGAATGAGTTGGAAAATATAAATGAAATACAAAAGATTTTTCTTAACTTAGAAATAATCATTTAATGAGTACATGTGATCATCTGTGGCTGAGTGGTTTAGTTTGATGGTTACAAATCATTTGCTTTTCACTGATGACTGGGCCTGAAGCCCACCAGGAATGTTTAATTCTGTAATGTGAGTAAGAGATCCAGGTAGCTTTATGAGTGCTGTTGTAACCACTTGAGCTTGAAAATTTACACGGAAAAGGCAAATAAAATACATATACATATTTGTTGTCATTAAAACAAATTATCATGAGCACATGTCATGTTTCTCCATTTTACAACTTTTTGTATAATGATGGTAGCCATTTGCCATATTTTACTGTGTACCAACTCATTCCTTGACCATTGACATATAGGTAGTCATAGCAACTGGTTATTTTTAGGCACAAAGACTAACACAGCTGGTGAGTGTCAGGGTCACGCAATGCAATCATGAAATTTTTAAAAAGGAAATTAAACAGGTCAAATCTTGGAACTTTCAAAGTTTTGTTCCTTTTTCAATTTTGTTACTTTTTCAATTTTGTTACTTTTTCAATTTTGTTACTTTTAATGTTTCATTGTGATTGTAGTTTTAAAGTGTGTTTCAATATGACCTTTCTTTTGTAGTCTGTTTCAAAAATAACTGTAAAAATAAACTGCACATACCTTGATTTCTAGACAAGTTAAATTACTTGCCAGTTTATACCAACTGCAACTGATTCCAAATGAAAGAACTCATGACATAGTTTATCATACTTGTAATTTATAGCAGATGGATCATTTTTTAAATTTCAAGTATTATAAATCGGAATAATTATAGAAAATCTATTTTGACAAAACAAAGGCTGTAGGTCATTGACCTCTAAATTGGATATCCTACATGAGATTTTTATATTTCATTTCAAAACTTTATAAAAGAAAAAAAAGTGACATTTTACGATCTTCTGGATTGAATCACACTTCTTTTCTGTACATAGAATATTTTTGTTACAAGATTTGAACTGTTTATTTTTCTATTCTGTTTGCAGAAAATTTCATTGTAAATGCGGAATGGAAATTAACATAGGCTAGAACCATACACTATACCATTTTTAAGTTTCACTTTTTTAAAATCGTACATACATTTTTTTTGTTCAAGATTTTATTTTATTGCTTGATTTTATCATTTCATAGTTGTTCTGTTTTTATGTTAGTTTGCATCCATGTTCAAATGTTTGGGACAGTACTTTAAAAAAGCAAATGATGTAGATTTAACTTTGTTGACAGGTAGCGATGATGGTTCATCAACAAAATTAAAATTTAGCTTGAACCACTTGTACAGCAGGTGTGCAACATAAGTGTAAATGCGATGTTTAATCTGATTTATTATAAGATAAAGAGAGTTAAATTTAAGGATTTAGACTGATTATTACTTTTTGGAAAGGTTTCTTGGCGGTTTCTTGTAAAGCTATAAATAACTAGAAGGTAAAAGCGATGAAGTTGAGCTGTATCATGTATGTGCGTACATTTTAGCGATATATTGTCAAATTATCTGAAAAGTATCTCCTAAGTAGTAAACCAGCATTTGTTTGCAGTACCTGTTACCTCAAAAAGTCATTTGATTATGCTACTGCATCAAAGGCTTCGTGGTCATTATCAATATTGCTGTAGACTTCCGCATTGATCTTGTCACTAAGTTGTTTGTTGGGATTAAAAAATGAGTTGGAGGGAGTTTTCTTAAGCTTATAGGTCAAGGTCAAGGTTGCCATTGCTATTTATAGAAAATGAAGTATCATATTATTCTTGGGAATGTTTTTCTCTAAGAACATAAATTTTAAGTATTTAAAATAAGTTTTGTGTCTTAATTTTGTGAATCTTGAATCTATTATCTTTATAGTCTAAATAGGATTTTGAACTAGGGTCTGAGTACTGTAATAGTATAACACTGTGACAATGACAAAATTATATGTCAGTTATCAATTTAGATGGAGAAAAAAAAATCTAGCACACACAAATATTTATTTTTCTCCAGGATTTATTTTATTTTCTAAGCATCTGTATTTAGTTTTTGTTTTATCTATTTTTTCTGCAAGTTTTTACTCTAATCTGCTCTTTTATAATCATTTTGTTTTCTTATTATTTATTTGCGCCCTATTTTTTAAATCCAGACTTGTATTTTTATTTTCAAGCTAAGCTTAAATGCTTGTAAACTTTTGATCTGTTGCTTAATTTTGAAAGTTAGAAAATACCAAAGTAGTACAGATTGTTTGTTAACCTTGTCCTGGCATAGTTTTTAGTTTTGGCTTGAAGAGATTTTGCTTAATTTTGTCAAAAGTTACAGAAAGGTTTTTAATAAATTATTTAATGATTCATTTCGTAGTATGTAATTATTTAACACTGATGTTTTCCATTATATGCATATTTTAATTTCAATAAAACTTCATTAATTGAAGAGAAAATGCAAGGTCTTTTTTTTAATCAGACCCACTTAAGAAACATATATTTAAATTTTTTTGAAATTTTCAAAAAGAAATTCTTCTTTTATTACTATTGCAATAAGTTATTATTATTTACTTTGTTATTTTTGTTTAAATATTGTTTTTTTTTAGCTCTTTCTTCTATATCTTAGTAATTCAGTTTATTCTCATATAAACTAAACATATGATTTACATCTTGTATGTGTTAAATGTGTCATTATTTATTAAAATCAAATGTGACATTATTCATTAATTATATTGTGGCGTTATTGATATTACATCAGGTCATAATTCTTTTATCTTAACATAATACATAGAGGATATTTGTTTGTTTTGCATGTAAGATTGAAATATAATTTCACTGAGTGACCTCCAGATGCAATATATAGATGAAAATATAATAGCTGGTGTTCACGAATGAAATATATTTCAATCTTATATGTAAAACAAATAAATTTTCTTTTTATTTCATGCGTTTTAAGTGATTTTAAGTAATTTTTACTGATTTTGCCGCGTAACGTCGCACATTCTCCTTCGTGACGTCATCACATCATGACGTCACATCAACAAGTTTGAAATATAGTTCTGTTAAATTTCTTTAATTTTGTTACATTTTTAACATAATGTATGGTGACATCGACTTTCTTTTCCAAAAGAAGCAAAATTTACGCATGACGGCATTTATTTTTGCCTGTTATTCCAATTAGTTTTGATTTTCTTTTCATCCGCATTCAGATATAGTCCGGCTACAGTGAAAATTATATTTTATAAATTTCACTAGTGGTTTATCAGAATATAATCATTTGATATATTACAATAAAACACTGGAAAGCATGAAATAAATGAGTATCATTATTCAATGTTATAATTGTTTGTCATTATTAAGTCATATCCTGTTCAAATGTTGTTATTCATTAAAAAAATTTTGTACTGTGTCATTATTTTTCAATATCATACTGTGTCATTATTAGCCATTATTATTCGTTATTCATTATGTCATTATTTTTCAATACCGTACTGTGTCATTATTATTCACTATTGATATATTGTGTCATTATTCATTTTCAACAGTGTTGCACTGTAGCTTGTGTCATGATAGGAGTTATATTTTTCAGATGTGGACAGCGTGTTATTACGTATGACTATTGTTGGAGTGTTGCTGTCATTCAGAAGTCTCGCACAAGAAGCCCTAAATGATGTAAGATTGTTTTTCTTTTGTGTTAAGTTGACAAGTACTCATTTTGTACAAGTACCAAGGTCAATCATGAACCAGTTTCAGTGGCTGTGTGGCCAAGTGGTTAACACATCAGACTAGTAATCTTAGTATTGCTGTCTGAATGTGTTCAAACCCTGTCGGGGGCAGATTCAAGAGTGTTCCAATAAGCTTATACTGTTATACTACCTTTTAAAGCCAATTTTGAAAATAAATGCTACATGTATCTTAGTTTTTCTTTGAAATGAATTAATAAACATTAAAAAGGTAGTTTTAAAAGTGATCTGCCTACATCAGTTTAACTGTACACTTTGAAACATTGTATTTTTCCACTTATACAATTGTGCAGCTTTACATTAACGTTTAAGATATTTAAGACATTTGTCCACAAAGTTAACTAACACCTCTGTATCCAATTTTGTCATCAATACCACTGGTGCCGTATACTTTGACTGCTATTTAAAAGGTTATCCGTTACCTATATATTTTATGTTGTAGGTGTTAGAAGATAGGGTACCTTTCTTGGTTGCTTCCATTAGAGACATTCACCATTATGTTCCAAAATCAAAAGACTCCATGGTAAGTTCTTTTTTTTTTTCTTAAAGTAATTTTTTAATTTTTTGTTTTGAAATTTATCTAACCCAAATGAATTATAAAATATCATTATAATAAGTGTCATTGGTTTTCTGCCTTGTTCTCTATATGGTAGATGGCTTTTTTTCAGATTTTCAAGTAGTACAATATAATTTTCAAACAATTTTTTTCTCTCTACTGTTTGCATATCAAAAGATACAATTACATGATCTAAAATTTATTTTTATTCTCAGTTTTTCTTAACTCTTCTGTGTGTTAAGGCTAATTTATAATTAGTTTTTACATAGATGCTCGAGCAAAGTAAGTTTATCTGTTGCATTATGTTGTGATACAAATAAACTGATTCTGCATAGACATCTATTTGGAATCAATCTGCTTTTATCCTTCAGTCTTCTTTTTATTATGAATTATTTCTTTCTGTACAGCATTCAACTTTACGCAGCAAGGTTAGGAGTTTTGTTTAGACGTTGTGCTACGTTCTCCAATCAAAAATGAAACGTTTCTTTGTGTGTTGTTAGTTGTCATACCTTTGAATTGAGTTCAAAAATGTGAATATGTTTTCATGTTTTTCTGAAAAAAAAGAAAGAAAAAAAAATCATTCTATTTTTTTTATATCCATTTCCATTCATATTATGTACAGTGGAAATATCTATTGTTAATGAATGGGGTTTTGATATGAATGAAGGAAGCCAATATTATAGACTTACTGATGTACACATTAGCATGGCTCCATACTGATTGCTTAGGCAAATCATAATCGCAGCAAATCTTCAAAAGGGTTTGAAAACATGGGGCGTCTGTGGCCGAGAGAGTTAAGGTTGTTGACATTAGACCACTTTCACCCCACTGCTGCGAGGTTTAATCCTACCTTCTTTCATGTAGGGAAGCTATCCAACTAGCTTACAAAACATCTGTGGTTTTACTCAGGTTCCTGTTCGTACCTGAAATAATGCACTGAGGGGCAGCTGAGGTCTTCCTTCACCAGTAAAGCTGGAAAGACCTTTACTGTGTTGGTGCAACATAAAATCCAACCCCCCCAAAAATAAAAAAAACATCAATGTTTTTAACATGCACTGATGTTAAATTGTACTTCAAGCTCAATAACCCTGACTTTGTGTTATGGATGTGTCCTCTTTTGAATTAAGAACTTTAGTAATTTGTGGGGATCCAATATAAAAACACTAAAATCTAACAGTCAGGGAAATAGATCCTTATATTTAGATATTGATAGTAGTATTGGTCTGTAATTAGTCATGAGTTGTCTGTGCACATTTTTTATCATTTCAAAGGTATGACATGCTAGATATGTTACCCAGTTTATGTTGTTCATTGTTGTTCTTGTACCAAACAAGGAAATATCCATTCTTATTCAGCATTCAAAAGATCAGAAATTATGCATGACAAATTCAAACAAAATGTTTGGTATTGGATGGGGAGGGGACATGTTGTAGAGAGGTAAGGGAGATTCGATAGAATAGTAAAGAGAAATACTGGTTAATTATCCAGGAATGCTGGTTAGGTGGAATGACTGAGGGACATGACCAAAAAATGTTAGAATAAATGTAAACTACAGATACTATCTTTGTAAAAACTATTTTGAGAAATAACTGTACTGTAAGCATATAAAACAATATGAAAGATTTTGTAGTTTATTTTTTCAGTTAATGCTTTACAAACATAGATGATGGGAAGTTGAAAACAATATAACAATTATACTTTAAATAATGAATCGAACATTGATTGTGTTAAAGTGAGTTAAAATTGTTATTTTTTGTAATATGAATTAATTCAGATGAATATGATTGGATATTTCCTGTTGAAGAAAGAAGCTATAGACTAGAGTAAACAAAATGAGCCATCCACTAACTGGTTATTATACAGGTGCCAATTTATTGACATACATAGTAAAAAGATATAAGATGCTTTTGAAACGATAGAGAATAATTAAAATCTACACCTCTTTTAACTTACAGTCCACCAGTGTTAGATTATTAATTAAATTTGATAATCAGATGTGACTAGTATTGAAAACTTAGTGAATACATGATTGATGAGAGTTTTATTCAAATCCTCCTAATTGATTACAGTAGATCAGTGGATCAAACAAAATGCCATGCCATTAAGCCATCTAGCTAGCTTTAAAATAAATAAATGGTCAAATAATTGCCACGCCATGAAGCCATCTAGCTGACTTAATATTAGTCATTGGTTCAGATAAAAAAGCAATACTAGTAAAGCCTTGTAGATAGCTTACAATAAATGTAGATAGCTTACAATAAATCATTGGTTCAAATAAAAAGGCAAGTCCATATAGCCTTGTAGATAGCTGACAATTAATAAATCATTGGTTCAAATAAAAGGCAAGTCCATAATTTATAGCCTTGTAGATAGCTTACAATAAAGCATTGGTTCAAATAAAAAGGCAAGTCCATAAAGCCTTGTAGATAGCTTACAATAAATCATTGGTTCAAATAAAAAGGCAAGTCCATAATTTATAGCCTTGTAGTTAGCTTACAATAAAGCATTGGTTCAAAATAAAAGGCAAGTCCATAAAAGCATTTAGATAGCTTACAATAAATCATTGGTTCAAATAAAAAGGCAAGTCCATAAAGTCATCCATGAAACCATCTAGATGGATAACAATAAATCTGTGGATCATACCAAAGGCAAGTCCATATGAAGTCACCTTTATGGCTTATAATGAATCATTGTTTTAAAACCAAATGCCAGTCAATGCCTAAAAATCATGAGTGCATGTTAGGTCTTAATTATCTAATCATAAAAAAATTGGAAAGTCACCAAAATGACACTATTTGTATTGCCACGTCCTTTAACCTGATGTTAACAAAAGAGATCATTTATTATGGAAGGATTGTATGTAAAAATGTGTATGGTTGGTCTATGATTTCTGCATGGAGTTTTAGTAACAGTACAATTATTTGCATCCCTTTTCTTTTTCTATTGTGAAAGTTTGAAGTGAGTCCAAAAATTGAGAATGAGCTGTTGATGAAAATGGAATTGCTCTGAAATACTTTTATTCATTTATTTGTCACAAAAAAAAAATTGTTAGGTTATAATTATGGCTAATTATGAATGTTGTATGTTTATATAACCAAAGCAACAAAGTCAGGATTGTATAGCAAAGAACCATTTCACTACATGTATTATTAATAAGGTTTTTGACAGGTTATATGGCCCTGTATGAATAGTTGTTTTGTATATAACCCAAGGCATTGAATTTAAAATACTGCAAACTTATTTTATTAGAGGAGAAATGAAATTTCTTTATAAATTGACTGCAGCCACGTATATACATGTATATTATATAAACGTCAAGATTATCCAATGAAAAACGATGTTACAAACATGCCGTATTATGAATGGTCATATAACATTCAAAAGTCATGATAATAAAGTCACAATACTAATACTGTATAACTGCTGTGTCATGATTGAAATGAAAATTTATTAATGAAATGAAAAAGGTACAGCAGCCTTGTATCTATCATGATAGACCAATGAAAATGGACAATACAAACATGTAGTAATAAAATCAGATTAAATGTGGTATTTTTAAGATGTGAAGTAAATTATTTAATATCATTTCAAGGTCAATTAAATCAAGTTATTTAGTAAATAAGTCAAGAAAGTAACTAGTTTTTACATTAGTGAAATTACAGATTCAGAATAAAATGTCTTTTAAAGATTATAATAAGAAGTAGGAATGACTGATAGAATTATGTAATAAATGGTTTTAAAGTAAAAAGGCTAGTTTTCACCTAGGTTTATGAACCTTCCATTCAACATTTAAGAAAATTCATCAAAGAACAATGCACATTTTTTAGTATTAAATCTTGAAATGAATTGAGGATTTTTGCATTTAAATCATTGGATTGCATGAATTCAAGATAGTTTCTGTTTGAAGGAGAACTAAGTTACCGTGTTTGTATTTTACCTGATGTGAGATTTATCTTGCTATTCCTACCTATTTGGTTTAAGATAATGTGCTACAGTAAGGAACAATTAGTTGCTTGATGATTTGGCTCTCCATTATACCTACCTGACAGTCAGCTTGCCTTGTTTAGATGCTGGCTTACAAGATAGGATATCCCTTTCTGGTGCTGGGTCTACAGTGTTACCATACCATGTGGAAAAACGACCTTAATAGCAGAATCTTATGCCTCACATTAGAGGAGAAAATTGCTGTCACAGATATTATTATATCAGTTTTATTGTGAATGTTCAGTGGAAAACTGTTCTTTAATTATAGCTAGGAATATACATATGTACTATTGTATAGGTTTCTATGAAAATGTTGCTAGATTAGAAGTATTTCAGAGTTTGTTTGGGGTTTTTTATGATAGCAAAAAAAGTTAAGGAACTCATAATTAGCGAATACTTTATATCAGAATTAATAATAATAAAGGAACAAGTTTCCACTTAAAAAGAGCTATATTCCTTTACAATTGATGAGGAAGTAAGATATTCACAGCATTAATCCCTACTAATTGAGAGGATCTATCCTACCTGAAAATGATGTCAGATACCACATAGTATGGTGAAACTGTACTGTTTAATGGTACAGTATATTAAGAATTGCATAAAGCCTTTAGACCTGTTTTTCAAACAAGAAAATACTGTGTCAAGGAAAACTGATGTAATGATCTATACTAAATATATAAATGCAATTTCAAATACAGAAATCTGGTTGACTGTCACTGTTGTAAGAATTTCAACTAAAGAATACTTATTCCTTAATAGTTTAAGTATAACATTTTAAAATGTTGATCACTTTAGGAGTGTGTTTTTTCTGTCTGTACCTTTAATGTTGTTGTTTTTTTAAACTTCATCCTATTTCTGTTAAATCTAGGCTTAAGGTTATGATGATATTCCCATATTATAATCATCACAATTTTTAGATAGTTAAGTAGTAAATATATCAGTAAGGAACTCTCTAGGATATGTTCTATATCAAGAGATACATTTCTATATTATAGATGGTTAGTGAGTTGGCTTCATCGGCTGGGGTACCTTCCAGTATTGACCCTGTACTTGTACAAGTTTTACGTCAACAGAAACATGGTGAGTACTATTTATTAATTAAATCAAACCTGAGAAAAATATCTCTTTTTAATAAAAGTACTTTATATCTGTTTCAATTCTTTCATATCGGAATTGGTTATGAAATGTGTACACGAGGAATTGTGAAATGTCATTATACACCCCCTTCTCCCAAGATAATGTATAATAAAGTTGTAGATTCATATGCAACTGTTTGAAAATACATTGTAATGCTAAAACTAATAAAATTATAGTTTTCTTTTTTCCTATTCAAATTATTTTATAAATATGAAGTTAGACTCTGGTTGCTAGTGGAACGAATAGCCAGCTCAATGACAACTGTTCAGCAGAAACTTCACAGCACCATTTTACCCTTAAAGCCAGGTATTTTGGTCCTCTGTCTCAGCAGTTAGTATTATTATTATTATTATTATTATTATTATTATTATTATTATTATTATTAAAGTAGTATGTGTGTTATATTGGAATATTTTATAATAATGATATATTACAGACCATGCAGACAGTGAATATGAGATAGCCTGTTTACTGATGGTGTTTGTTGCTGTGTCTATACCTAAACTAGCCAGAATTGAACAGAAATCCATCTTTGTTGCATCTGTTGAAGGTAAGGACTGGATTTAATTTTATTTTTAGCTAGTCTGTTTTGAAGAAAAAGCCAAGCTATTATGATCACTTTATCGTTGTCATCATGCAAAAACTTTAATGTAGCCATTATTCAAACATTACAAAAGTTGTCTTCAACATGAAACTTGGGATACTTGCTAATCATGACAAGGTGCAGATGTAAGACAAGGGGCATAATTCAGAAAGAAATAATTTTTGAGTTATGCCCCTTTTTGATTAAGAAATTTTAACAGACGAGTGTTAACACTGCATTTTGTGTTCTTGTTTATATGTACAAATTTTCTAAAATAATGTGTAAAAGAAATTTTCATTAAATCAACAAAATCAAAATCAGGATTGAAATGTAAATGGATTAATGGATACTTAAGTGTTATTAAACAAGATTTTATGGTCTTATTGTTCATATCTCTTTGAACAAGCCACTTACTGTGATAATAAGAGTACTAAAATAGGATTACTAGTGTTCATTATAATAAAACCTCATTTATTATGTTGTTGAATGTATTGTGATATGTTCTTTGAACCTTTTACTCATGGATTTTAATGTTGTTATATTGTTACATTTACAGGACATTTGAACAACAGTCATTGTTTAGCAAAGGCAATTAACCAACTAGCAGGTGCTCTGTTCTACCTACATGGACCATCAGACACAGAACAACGACTCCAGGAATTCCTTGCTGTATGTTTTAACTTTCTTAATAATCTAAATATATCCTGGAAAAAAAATATTCTGGAGAGTATATAGTACCTAAGTAGTCCTGTCTTTGGTCACACATGTGTAAACTTTGTTTCCTCTTCATTTATAGACTAATATATGTTTGTAGGTACCCGTCATCTACATCTTCTCATGGATGTTGTTTAATTTTAAGTGATTAACCTCATGGTTGTATATTTAAAGAATCTACGTATTACAGAAATAGAAAAATAAAAATAAAAAAAGAAGCATATTTATGTTTTGTATTCCCAAGTGAAAGGAATTAATCTAGGCTTCTTATTTTAATAAATATTTGTATATATGAAAATATGATAAATTAACTTGTATTTATTTCATGTGTTACAGTTGGCATCCTCCAGTTTGTTGAGATTAGGACAGGAGAGTGAGAAGGAAGCTGTGAAGAATAGAGAATCTGTGTATTTACTTCTTGACAAGGTTAGCTATGTTGTACAATGTAGTTTATTAATGTTATTATAAAATATTTAGGACTACAGTAGAACTTCGGTAAGTCGGAGTTGGAGGGACTTGTGTAAAAACTTCGACACATCGGGACTTCGACTCATGAACCGGTCTGAATTTCATGACAAAATTTCAACCCGTGACTAGCCCTAATTATAAGATATATAACGTAACCTATTTCATGTTTTTCTTTCATTCATTAATCTGATATTTTACATTATAGAATGATAAATATGACATGTTAAGTAACTTTTTACGGGTAATGATTTGGACTACCTGTTGATGTATACAATGAAGTTACAAAAGGCGTAACAATACGAAAGGGCAATAACTAAACCAGCTTATAGTAAATATTTCGCGTGTGATTATCACGCGACACCGGGTCACGGAAGCACTCAAATGATGGTTCTTACTGTTTACATGTACTTTCAAATACCGCTACGGTAATTAAAATAGTAACTATTAAAGCATTTTTTCACACATTTAAACGCATACAAAGGCTAGTTGAACACTCGGCTGTGTAATTAACACCTGTCACTAAAGTTAATCGGAAACAGAAAAGGTGTGGAAAATGTCTCGAGATCGAAGGTGTCAAAATAATCGAAGGACTTCGACTTATTTGTGGTAAATTGTACTAGATTTATTCTATACGGACAGCGAAAAAACTTCGACACATCGAAAAATTCGACACATAAAATCTCGACTCATGAATACGTTTTTATAAAGAATATATAAGGGAAAAAATCGGGACTTTCATTTTACTTTGACACATCGAGAAAATCGACTAATCGAAGTTCGACTCATAGAAGTTCTACTGTATATGATGATCTGGTTACATTTTGATAATTTTGTAGTGGTTGTCATTTTGCTAGTTGATGAAAAATGGGATTTATGTTGGTTGCTGTTGGTGATAAACCTGCTGGAAAAGTTTTCATGCAGTATTATAATATAAATAATATTAAATATAAAGATAAAAGCCCGCAAGTCAGCATTAGATATTAGTTTTTTTACCCTTTGTACATTTGTTACCACTTACCAATGATATAAATTTATTAAATATGATATTTTATTTACAGATTGTCCAAGAGTCACCATTTTTGACAATGGATCTGCTGGAGTCATGCTTCCCATATGCACTGCTTAGAAATGCGTACCACTCTGTGTACAAACATGCTGCGGAAACGTGAAATGTACAAGATAAAATTAACCAACAAAATAAATAGTGCAATCTGTTTTTGTGTAAAAAACAACCATATATTTAGTAAAACTAACGTTAAGGCAAAGAATCTACTACATTATGTTTAGTATATGTCCGAAAGTTTACTTGTTTGTGTAGTTTTTATGTAGTGATGACTGAACTATGTGTAGTCATGAGTGATTTTGCTGCCATGATTGGGTTATGTTAAACAGTAATGATTGAGTTATATAGTCATGATTGAGTTATACAGACATCATAAAGTCATGATTGAGTTATATTATACAATTATGATTAAGCTTTATTATGGAGACATGATTGCGTAAGTTTATACAGTCATAATTGAGTTATATAGTCATGATTGAGTCATACAGACATCATAAAGTCATGATTGAGTTATATTATACAATTATGATAAAGCTTTATTATGGAGACATGATTGAGTAAGTTTATACAGTCATAAGTGAGTTATATAGTCATGATTGAGTCATACAGACATCATAAAGTCATGATTGAGTTTTATTATACAATCATGATTAAGCTTTATTATGCAGTCATGATAAATTTAGTTTATACAGTCATAATTGAGTTATAAAGTCATGATTGAGTTATACAGACATAAAGGCATGATTGGGTTATATAATGCAGTCATGATTGAGCTTTATTATGCAGTTATTGAGTTATATTATACAGTCATGATCAAATTATATTAAGCAACCATGATTAAAAAAGAAACTTGCCAGATGGAATAATGTGTGTAATACTTGTGTGTTTTATGTAATGGTCTTTGAACATGTGAAAGTGTTTTGTAATATATTTTGTGTTTATAGAGACTATAATTTAATCATATAGACTTTGTAATAAGTAAATCAATATTGAAAAATGATGACAAGCCCTTGTCTTACATTTTTTGTGTGCAAGTTTTATATTTGAATATGTGAAATCTGCTAGAAATGCTTGTTGAAAAAACATAATGATAAAACTGAAATAAATATTCTTGTATCATTTTACTTGAACTCATAGTCATTTTATTTCTGTACTGCCTAAGTTGATAGTTATTGTAAAATTAAATTAATCTTAGATAATCTGAAAAACTAAATATTGATTCTATAATACATGTAATAACAGAAATATGGCTTGTAGCATAAAAAATGATAATTGCTAATTATGAATGTACATTTTTGCCATTTCCCATTAAATGTCCAGGATCATGTTTTTGCCGTCTGAATTAATTGAATCATATTTGTCAAATAATGTACAGTTACCAGAGCATTATTCTCAACATTTTTACTTTGTTTTATTTGTTGCTTTTTTTTGTGCCAGAGTGAGGTGATCAAATTATACAGAAATTATACGGTAAATCCTCTAGCAGTGAAAATGCATCATTTAAATGCAAGAAATTAAGTTCTTAAGACTTCTGGACGTTCTAGTATTACATAATTTTGTTATTTATGCATGCTTAAAAAATTCTCGCCTATATTATCTGATACGCCACATAAAGTAATATAATAATTCTGAAAGTTTGTATTATTAATTAATGTTGTTATGCTTTTTTATAATGATTCTTAGATCTTCCTTGTGCTTTAGAATCTCTTTTTAGTGAAATGATTAGTAAATAGATGTTTATCAAAAGTAAACATTTTTGATAAATGAATTTTTTTGATAGGAATTATACTTTTTGAATGAAAAGTACATTGTGTAATAACATAAGGATTTTGTAAGAAAAATGAATAAATAAATATATATATATAATATTTTTCTTGTGTGTTTTTTTCCCCCTTTTAGTTTTGGTTTGGATAAGTCTGGTATGGATTTTGAATGAATTAAGGCCCTGTTTTAAAATTTACATAATTATTTGGTTAATATCCAAGTCTTACAATTATGTCATGTACATTATTTGTATTTTTGTGATCAGAATCTTACTCTGTTAATTCTTACAATACATACTGGTTCTTGTTTTACAAACAGTTGAGCGTGCTGTCCTACTGACTACTGACAGCTCCTGTTGGCATTTTTGCCTAGATTTCAAATAAAGTATTTGCTTAATTCACAGACTATTACGTTGTCAAGTGAATGGTTAACCTTAAAACATGTAAAAGGAGACACGGGCAAAATTTTCATTTCTTTGTTTTGAATTTTTCATTAATGTCCTGAAAATGAATAAACTAGGCAGTCACAGGCACAAAACTTTTCTCCTTATAAAGAATAAAATGGTGGTTTCCTCACTTGACCCATGTGGGTCAGGTTGGTGTGTTAAGATTTAACAATCATTTTCACAGTGAACTCCGGAACCGCTAAAGAATATGCCAAATGAATGGCTCAACAATATCTTTATTGTAAATTCAAGGGTTTGTTCAAATCACAAAACTTGTTTTAAATCTACACGGTGATTCTGTTGGCAACCTAAATTTCGTTAAATATATAAAGATATGTTTACGATTTAAACCCAAAATATTTAAAATTTATACAGAAATTCATGCCAGGACTGAAAAAAAATGTCATTTTAGCGTGATTTGAGTACATAAGATGATTTTAATTTTTTTGTCATTATTTCCCTGTGTATCCCTTTAATTGGCTAGCTTCCAAACAGAATACGAGGGGTGTCCCAGAATAACGTGGACTTTTGCTATAACTTTTTTATTTTTTAATGCATTTTTTAGCAAATTTGTACACAATACCTTTAACATATCCTTAATGAATATGTCCATTATTTTTAAATTTCTAACATTGCTTCTCTATATTTTACGTCGCTATAGTAACGCAGTATGCACAGGGCGGGACAGTCCAATATTTTGTATTAATAAGTTGTCTTTACTTTCGTATATCTTGCGATTTACGATTGGCGCGACGTCGTAAACATATGCAGTGACGTCATATGAACGTTCGTTTGAAATTTTGACGTCATAGCTGTTTCTGTTATTGTTTACCAGCGGACAACTGAGAACCGTTGCTCTTGGATATTTAACAAAAAATGACGTCCACGGATTACGCGGACCATCGGAATATCATCAAGTTTTGTGTTAATCTTGGGAAGACGCCAACACAGACGCAGGAAATGTTGGAGACTGCAAAAGTGAGACCTCCTTTTTGTCGATCACTCGTTTTCAAGTGGCATAAGCGTTTTCGAGACGGCCGAGAGGACATTGAAGACGACAAGGGTCGTGGGAGCAAGTCAACGTTGACTGAGGCGTCAATTAAGGAAGTCAAGGACGTCATAGATCGGGACAGGCGTTACACCAAGGTCAATGCTGAGTACTATTCAAGGGTAAGCAATAATTTTGTGTTTAAAAAAATGATTTTAAAAATTAAGCTAATCACAATTTATTATTTTAAACGCAATTTATCCGCTTCAGCTTTTAAGAAAGTGAACTCAAACTGCTATAGTAAGCAGTGCGCATGATAGGTTATTTCCCTTGTTAATGCACATTGTCTTTGCGTACAAAATAAACTCCACAATAATAATAATAATAATAATAATAATAATTATTATAAAAATAATGATAATAAAAATAATAATGATAAATAGTAATAATAATAATACGGCGTCAGCATTATCACCGTCAACTTTAACACTATTATCGTAACAAAAGTTAATAGTATGCTTTATTATTATTATTATTATACAGGGCGGTGTACGACCAGTTGATATATCGCACCATAGGTGTATTGAGTTTGGCGGCGACTATGTTGAGAAAAACTGACATTCGATGCCACGCATTTATTAACAACTAGCGACACCACCGGAATGACGTAACGTCGGAATGGACTGCCCCGCACCCGCTACCCCTTGTCGCATTACCCTGCCCACATACACTGATCCAGTTGCCGGACAACTTTGACATTTTTTGTACTAATGCAATAAAGTTGCATTTTGTTCATGTTAATTTTGTTTGTTTTTATTTTCAGTAGTTTTTAAGTAACAGCAAAAGTCCACGTAATTCTGGGACACCCCTCGTATTTGTTTAATTCATAAACAGTATATAGGTAAGGGAAGATGATTGTATTGTTGCTAAAGGAATGTGTTAAAGGGTACAAGAATCTTAATGTTGTTAGTGAAGATAATTGTGTTGCTGCAAAAGGAATGTTAAAGGGGAAGAGGCACTAGGTGGTCAATATTTTAAGTGGAGATAATTATGTTGTTAGATACATGTCCTTGAGGATTTTGAAAAAGGTCGATATGACGTTTCTTGTATCATACTGGTCAAGGGAAGAAAAGTGTGTCACAAAACAAAGAAAGACTAAGTCTTGTTAACATTAAAGTTCTTAAGATCAGCTGTAATAACCTTGTTATAATGTTTTTTATACAGTTTAAAGATTAGTGTAGGCTAACATAGAATGAAGACACTAGCTCATCAAAATAAAAAGGACAAATAGTTTGAGTTTGGGTTCTCAAGTGTGTCTCAATCTGACTTTTCTTTGCATATTTCCTTTAACACAAAAGTGGCCTTCAAACATGTTTTCTTTACATTTTGATCTGAAAAACTTTGGTAAAAGATCCAAGGCCATATTGGTCTAGGTTTACATTATATTTTCTCCTAAAAGAAATACATGTAAGTTTAATGGACTAAGCGATTGTAACCAGCACCCCACAATTCTAGGAGCATAACGGGACATTAACCATGATCTTCTAACCCTTGGAAAAGCCCCTTTCTATGAGATAGTCTGATGTTAAAATGCCTGATAAAAGCCAGGCACTGTGATATGGACATCACCCTAGCCATTTTAGTTTATACCACGATTTTAGTGACGGTGCATATTGAATAATAATTATATCCTCATTCATTCTTGACACAATTATCACATTCCATTCTTAGTCTGTTTTCTTGGTGTTTATTTGCATGTTAGTTTTACAGATTCTTTAGTGAACTTCAAAATTTTTCCTAAAACCAAATTTAAGTCTGAATTCATCCAGATTTGGAAGAATTGCTCCTTGAGTGAACAGGCCTGTTGCTGTCTTTAGACCATTCAAGACTGAAGCCACAATTTTGACAAATTCATAAGCTCATTTAAAACAATAAAAATTTTGTTATAACTTACTGCCAATATCCTTAAACATATAAAGCATGTGTAGTTATTCACCTGGTGGTTTGCTTGTGGATTTTATAGTATTTTTGGTATTTGTAGAGTTTTTGCGCTTGACTTAGTAAAAATTTGTAATTATTTGACCTAGTCATAATTCATTATTTTCAAAACTTTCCGAGGGGGCATCATCAAGTTTTGATTTTTATCTTTTTAGCTTGACTATACGAAGTATATGGAGAGCTGTCCTACTCGCCCCGGCGTCCAGATTTCAGATTAAAGTTTTGGTGCAGTAAAATATTTTCACTATAACTTTGTCATTTCTTAAGATATCAACTTCAAATATATGTTCCTTATCATCATCCACATCTTATGTGACAAGGTTCAAAACACTTGCACCAATATTTTCAGATTTATCTCCCCTTGAACTTAGAATTTTCCTTAAAAAAATACTATTTTTAGCTCACCTGAGCATATGCTCAGGGTGAGCTATTAGGATCACTCTTCGTCCGTCGTCTGTCGTCCGTCGTACGTCGTCCGTTCACACTTTTCAAACGACATCTCCTCTGAAACCATGAGGCAGATCATAATGAAACATCACAGGGATGTTCCTTGTGTGAAGCCTTAACAAAGTTGTTCCAAGAATTCCATTCCATGCAGAACTCTGGTTGCCATGGCAACCAAAAGAAAAAACTTTAAACATCTTCTTCTAAAAAACCCAAAGAGCTAGAGCTTAGATATTTGGCATGAAACATCTTCTAGTGAGTGTCTACCAAGTTTGTTCAAATAAAAGCCCTGGGGTCAAAATTGGCCCCGCCCCAGGGGGTCATTGATTTTCCCTATATGCATATAGTAAAAAACTTAAAAAATTTTCTCTTAAAGAACCCAAGAGCTAGAGCTAAGATATTAAGCATGAAACATCTTCTAATCAGTGTCTACCAAGTTTGTTCAAATAAAAGCCCTGGGGTCAAAATTGGCCCCGCCCCAGGGGGTCATTGATTTTCCCTATATGCATATAGTAAAAACTTAAAAAAATCTTCTTTTAAAGAACCCAAAGAGCTAGAGCTAAGATATTTAGCATGAAACATCTTCTAATGAGTGTCTACCAAGTTTGTTCAAATAAGAGCCCTGGGGTCAAAATTGGCCCAGCCCCAGGGGTCATTGATTTTCCCTATATACATGTAGTAAAAACTTAAAAATCTTCTTTTAAAGAACCCAAAGAGCTAGAGCTAGGATATTTAGCTTGACACATCTTCTAATGGCTGTCTACCAAATTTGTTCAAATAAAAGCCCTGGGGTCAAAATTGGCCCCGCCCCAGGGGTCATTGATTTTCCCTATATACATAGAGTAAAAACTTAAAAATCTTCTATTAAAGAACCCAAAGAGCTAGAGCTAAGATATTTAGCATGAAACATGTACTTATGGATGTTTACCAAGTTTGTTCAAATAAAAGCCCTTGGGTCAAAAATGGCCCCGCCTTAGGGGGTCATTGATTTTCCCTATATTGCATATAGTTATTAAAAACTTAAAAATCTTCTTTTAAAGAACCCAAAGAGCTAGAGCTAAGATATTTAGCATGAAACATGTTCTAATGGGTGTCTACCAAGTTTGTTCAAATAAAAGCCCTTGGGTTAAAATTGGCCCTGCCAGGGAGAGGGGGGAGGGGCAAAAGTCATTGTTTTTCATTATTTGTGTATTTATATAGTAAACACTTAACATCATGAAACATCTTCTAATGGGTGTCTTCCAAGTTTGTTCAAATAAAAGCCCTTTGGTTTAAACTGGCCCCGCCCTGGGGGCCTATGTACAGGTGAGCGACCCCAGGGCCATCATGGCCCTCTTGTTTACTGTTACTTCTTTATTTCTTAATGAATAAACTTCATACTTCAAATATATGTTCCTTCTCATCAACCACATCTTATCTGACAAAGTTCATAACTCTAGCACCAATATTTTCAGATTTATCTCCCCTTGAACTTAGAATTTTCCTTAAAAAATATTATTTTTTTTACTGGTACTTATTTATTTCTTAAAGGATAAACTTCATACTTCTAATATATATATTATCATTAACCACATGTTATGTGACAAGGTTCATAACTCTAGCACCAATATTGCAAGATATATCTCCCCATAAACTTATTTTTTTTTACTTGAAAAATGTTATTTTTTAATATAATACAACTTTTTTAGTTTTAAAGATTATTATCTACCTCAAACTTCAAATACTTATTCTTTTTTCATCAATTACATTTTATGTGACGAGGTTCATAACTCTTGAAGCAATATTTACAGATTTATCTCTCTTTGAACTTAGGATTTTCTTTAAGAAATATTGTAACTTCTTTACTTTTTTAACTTCAAATATATATTTCTTATCATTACACACATGTTGTGTGACAAGGTTCATAACTCTAGCGTGACTTTTTCCAGAATTATTCCCCTTGATCTTGGAATTTTTGTTAAAAATGTTATTTTTTACTATAACTTAATACATAATTATTCATAATTGATTTTTTTTTCATAGTTTTGTCTTCCAGTATTTTATTAGTCGAGCTTCGCTGTCTTTGTTGTTTATGCAATGAACTATATATTTGGAATACATGTGATAATAAAATGTATTTTGTTTCACATGCTGGAATATTAACTTTGTCTTTTATTTGAAATTGACCATGATCAGGTAATATGTACTCGTATGAACAAGCAAAACTGCTTTGTCACTTAGCTTTTATTAGTATTATACAATGCAATAACAGAGCTTTAAACAAATGCAGTCTAATTTTTTATTTCTGAATTTTATCTGTGGCAATATCATTTACAGACAAAGGCATTTATCACATTGTACTGCAATGGCTTCCTTTATTTTATGTAAGGGTAGCATAAAATATGGAACTGCATGAATTCATTAATTGAACAGACTCAAAACCACAGAAATATCTTTTATTTTTTATATAAGTTCAATGTGTTGAAATTAGTGAGATAATACAAAAAAAACAATATATAGTAACAGTCCCAATTTTATTAAAATATTACATCCTTGATACAAACTACATGTTAGTTAATACAACATATATAATAAATATATCCAAAGCTGAGACCAGATTAATTTTTCAAGTGGTCAATAAAAATATATTATCCACAAGCAGTGATAATTACCAAAGAACTTTGTTGTCACCTAAAGAACAAAATAGAGATTCATTTTACTTTAAAAAAAATTGTTACGATTTTAAGCTGCTTAATCATGTTATGAGTTTGTTGTTTTTGGGGTTTTTTTTATTCACTCAAAATTTTATCATATGTGGTTCAGCATAGATAAATTCAACATAGGATAATATAATTTCATAACTACACAACATAGCAAGTCTGAGCCAGGGATCAAATTTGTTTTTTAAATGTCATAATAAAACCTTTGTCCATATCCTTTTTCATAATGGTATATAAATATGTTAAACAGCAAGGCTGGTGGTAAATTACTACAAGAACGAGGTAGCAGCTCTAAAACTTAATAAATTTCTTTCCAATTTCTGCATACAAAAATAACAAAAAATGTCCAATGTGACAATACTGAATTATCAATATTCTGAATAAACAATATATCACTAACAGACTGATGAAAAAAAAGACTAGGATAATAATAATAAAATATGCAAAAACAAATAAAATTAAGTTGGTCACAGTTCCTGAGTAAGCTGTTTGGTCACAAAAAAGAAATAAAGAACATGTATATAATGTTATCATGAAACATAACTAGCCCAGTCCCAAAGCTTTTAATGAATAACAAACAATACAACAATAAACTTTTCTTAACATAGAAGGTCACAAGGTCATTAAGAGGTAAAAAAAAATGTTTCTTTCTTTGTTATATATATGAAAGCTGTTGTTTAAAGAATGAACGCACAATAATAATTCTGTTTCTTTATTTACCTGCTTTTAACACTGATTTTATCACATTTTTGATCCCAGAAGTCATTCCATTTAACCAGCTTTCTTGGATATCCTCAATATTCAACACCAATACTGAAACAAGCATATTTAAAATCATAGTAACAAATATGCATTAGATGTCCCAATATACCTGACAATGCTCTAACTAACTAGTAATTATCAATACCTCCACAAGAGATATACTTATATCCCATGTTTTCTGAATCAACTGTGAAAAACAAAAGACCATTACTATGATTAGACTTAATGTACAAGATCAAATTTTGTCAAGGAGGAATTTCACCTTGCACCAGGATCGAACCAGCGACCCTGGTATGACCAATGTTATAATTATTCACAGAGTAATAGACAGACAGACAGACAGAAAAAATAGAATATACTCTCAGATCTATATAAGTGAGGATCATAAAAATGTCATGTTGGAATAATATATAAAAGATAAGATAAACTTTAATAAAATTTTAGTTTTAAGTTCATTTTTTGTGTTAATTATGAAGTTTAAATTATTAAACAAAATTAAATCTTATTAAAATAGACATTTAATGCTTGCATGATAGACAAGGGCTTGTCACAGAATCCACATACCAAGTATTATGAACCTAGATTTTTTACTATTTGAGTTATAGTTGAAGATTCAGTTTTCATAGAATAGAAGGAAAGACAAATTTAGTAAACCTATAGTGCCCTCTAGTGAGACAAGTACGGTACTTACAGTAAACAGTAAAATTATTGTTTTATGTGTGTTAATTTGGTGTGGATGCAGAGAATACGAGATGTTGATACTATGAGTTTATTTCTAAGACTGTTTAACAATATGTAGTTATATAATTGGTCAGTACACTAAGTAGGCGGAGCCTAACAATCAAGTTTAAAGTTACTGCATGCAATATATATTTAATGTAGAATTAAATATGAAACAATATATATTTAATGTAGAATTAAATATGAAACATCTCCCTTCTTTTAAAAACAACAACAAGAAATTTCTAAAGAATCTCAAGGCAAATAATGTTGATATCACTTGTATCTGATAGATGTAAATGTCTGTTTTATTGCCATGATAATGTTCTCAGTTCTATTCCTCCACAGATGTTGTAAAATGTCAGCAAATTATTTATGGCTTATCTGTGAGGTAGAATGTCCATTTAATTGATATCTGAATTCACGCTAGTTCCATGGTGTATCATTACACTAATAGTCACTATAAATTCACACTGATCTCAAGAATGATAATATTGTTTCTTTGTACTGTAGAGATATTTGTATGCAAAACTATACATAAACACATATTTCATTTTAAGAGGCAATATAACATTGTTAAAATAACATGTATAAGTAACAAATTTCTACATGGTAAGTTTATGAGGTTTTTTAACACAACGACCTGATCTTGTTTTATATTCATTGTCTGCATTCTCAGACAGGGGTGATTGATGTTTGACAGGCGAAGTTTGTTTTGGTGTCTGGGACTGTAAGACAACAGGGGATTTTTGAGAATTAGCGTCTTGACCTGGTGTCAATATTTTATTGGCAGGGTCATATGTACTAGGGTTATGAACTTTTGTGTTATAAGATTTAATTTCTAAAGGTGGTTCGTGTAATGAATTATTTGAACTGTTCTCAGTTTCAGAAAATGGTTGTTCATTTGATTTTAGTAGATGGTATCTATTTCGTCTATATATTGCACCATCTTTTGTTCTTACATCATAAGATCTGTCATGAACTTTATGCATAACTTCTGCAGGTAACCAACTTTTTCCTTGCCTAATTCTAACACCTTCTCCAATTTCTAGAGGTTTGAGGGTTTTAGTTGACCTGTCATTATAATATTTTGACCTTTGTTTAGCATTAAACATGCTGTCTCTGATAACCTGTGTGTCAGGAACTTTGGGATCAAGTTGCTCTGACATTAATGGCAATGTCGACCTTAACTGTCTGCTCATAAGCAGCTGTGCTGGAGATTTTCCACAGGGTAAAGGGGCATTGCGATATTCCAGCATCGCAAGATAAGGATCTTTTCCTGCTTGTTTTGATTTTGTAAACAGATTTTTGACAGTTTTGACAGTGATTTCTGCCAAACCATTGCCTGATGAATGACCTGGGGATGATGTAACATGAGAAAAATCATACAGTTTTGTGAACTGTAAGAAACTTTCTGCACTGTAACAGGGGCCATTATCTGAGAACAATACTTCAGGTATTCCATGCCTGCTAAAGAAGCTTTTCAATTTGTTAATGACTGTACTAGATTTTGTACTTGAGATTTGACTAACTTCAAAGTACTTGCTGTAAGCATCAACTAATAACACATAATCTGAATTATTCCAATGAAAGAGATCTGTAGCACAAATTTGCCATGGCCTATCAGGTATTTTATTTGGTCTCAGGGGTTCCTTTGGGTTTGAACACCTATGCTCTATACATATAGGGCATTCCAGGACTTTTTTCTTTATGTCTGTGGCCATGTTTGGCCAAAAGAGCACGTTTCGAGTTCTATTTAAGCATTTTTCTACACCTAAGTGTGCATCATGAATAATGTCAAGCATGAGTGATCTGAGCTCTGCTGGAACTAGAATTTTAGTATTATTTAAGATGACACCATCTATAACTGATAGTTCATCTCTGAAATTCCAGAATTCCAGAATACTTTGAGGGCAATCTGTTCTATTATTAGGCCATCCTTCATGAATAACTGATGAAAGAATTTTCATTTGTAGGTCAGATTTGGTTGTTAACCTAATTTGTTCCATTTTTTGGTCACTCACTGGTAAGTTCGACATTATTGTGTGTACATGTGTTTCTAGATTAGCCGATTCGGCTATTTCTGGGCATGTGTCTGGTAAGAATTTCCGAGACAAACAATCTGCTAGGGGTATATCTTTCCCGGGGATGAAAACTACATCAATATCATACGGCTGCAAATGCAGTAATATGCGCTGCAGTCGTGGAGGTGCTGAGTTCAAGCCTTTTTTCCATATAGCTTGGAGAGGTTTATGATCACTTTGACATGTCATACGTTTACCGTAAATGTACTGGTGGAATTTTTTACATCCGAAAAGGATAGCTTACAATTCCTTTGCAATTTGGGCATAATTGACCTCAGTAGGGGTAAGTGACTTTGATGCAAAACCAACTGGTTTACCCTCCTGCATGAGTACTGCAGATAAACCATACTTGGACGAGTCGACTTGAAAAGTAATTTCCTTATTTGGGTCAAAGTAAGAGAGTATTGGACCAGGGCTTTGTGTAATAATGCTTTTAACCTGTTGTAGGGCATTTTCTTGGGGTGCATCCCAGCTAAAATCTACATCTTTAGATAGAAGCTGTCTCATGGGTGCAGTTATTTCTGAGAGTTTGGGTGCAAATCTCTGTAAGTATGTGACCATGCCTAGCACTGTTTGCAATTCCTGTTTAGAAGTAGGAGATGGCATCTCTGCTATGGCCTTGACCTTTGCAGGATCTATTTTTAAACCTTGATCAGTAATTAAGTGGCCAAAGAAAGGTAACTCTGTTTTCCCTATTTCTGTTTTGTCGGGATTGAGCTTGATACCTATTAATTGGCATCTTCTCAAGAGTCTGTCCAGATTTTGGTCATGTTCTGCCCTATCTTTGCCGTAAACAACAATGTCGTCAACAATTGTTCTTACTCCTGGCAAATTTTCCAGACACTGTTCCATTTTTGCACAAAATGCATCATTTGCATTCTTTAGGCCATATGGGAGTCTTAGGAATCTGTATCTTGCAAAACAACTGTTAAAAGTTGTCAAGTAAGATGACTTTTCTGTTAGTTGGATAGACCAATAACCACTACATGCATCTAATTTTGAAAACACAGTAGCATTTGACAAGTCGGGCAATATGTCGTCGATAGTCCTATTAGGGTAATGAGGTCTTTTGATGGCATTGTTTAGATCTTTCGGATCTAAGCATAACCGTAAAGAGCCATTAGGTTTTTCTACTACAACTAGACTATTTACCCAGTCTGTAGGTTCTGTGACTTTCGTAATAATACCTAAGCTTTCCATTCTGTCAAGCTCTATTTTAAGTTTGTCACGAATGGCAATATGAACTCTGCGTGGAGGGTGAACTACTGGTGTGACATTGTCACGCAACTGTATTTCAAATTCCCCTGGAAATTTTCCTATTCCGTTGAAAACATCTGAGTAAGTACTGAGCACTTGCTCCTTTGTGATAGGCACTGTGCACGTATTTGACAAAACTAACTTAATTAAGTTTAATTTAAGGCATGTTTGAAGACCTAGAATGGGGCTTGAATGTGTATCTACTATGTAAAACTCTTCTGTAGAGATTTGACCTTTATATGTACAAGGAAGATTGATACAGCCATCAACTTTGAGAGGCTGACCATTGTATACGGTTAATTGCTTTTGTGTTGGAAGTACAGGACCTAATTTGCCTAATGATCTGAATATTGACCTTGGGAGAACATTGACCTGAGCTCCTGTATCAATTTTCATATTAAGTTCTGTTGAGCAGACTTTGACCTTAGCAAATGCTTGATTTGTTGTGCTGTCATGCTCAACTGTATAGACATACATGTCATTATCATGACTGGGTAGGGGACAATCAAGATCATTTGTGTTAAAATGTGTTACCTCATTAACATTTTTGCTTCCTAAATCCTGTTTTCTTTTCCTACACACTTTTGCGAAATGATTAAACTTTGTACAGTACAAACACTTTTGACCCTTGGCTGGGCATGTATCACGTTTTAAATGGTAAGTCCCACAGTTATTACAGTTATTTGTATTTCCAGTAGGTACTCGTTGATTGTATCTAGTGCTGTGTTTGCTGCCATCTGTCTTCCTGATTTGCGTCCGAAACTGCTTAAATGGTGCTGCTGCTGTTGCTGCTGAGGATTTCTTGACTGCTTATATCCCTTAGCTGTGTCTGACTTAATGCATAAGTGCGAGACAAGTCAATACATTTTTCAAGTGTCAAGTTTGATCCTTCATTTATGAGTTTCTCTCTTATCTGGTGGGAACGTACACCAAATACAATGTGATCACGTATCATCTCGCTTTGTATCTCTTCTGCGTAGCCACAGTCCTTTATTAGTAATTTCAAATCTGTGACGAACTCTTCAAAGGTCTGTCCTTCAGATTGTATACACGATTTAAATTTATACCTTGAGTAAATGTGATTCACTTTGGGTGCGCAATATGTCTCGAAACCTTGATAATATGTCTGAAGCAGTTTTCTTTCTTCAGCTGTAACTGTCCAGGTTGAAAATATTTGGCGACCCTTCTCACCAACCCATAACATTAAGTAATTGCATTTTGCCTCCTCTGTTTTCTTCTCTAGTGGCCCTCCAAACATAAAGTCACAATGTTCTTTAAACTTCTTAAATGCAGTTGGCAAGTCTCTGGCTTCCCAGTCAATTCTTGGATTTGTTGCTGAATCCATCTTTTTACAATGGTTATAAATCCAGAATACGTTTAATTCCTGTTATTTTAATTATTATAAATAATTAAATCCTTTTATTCTGACACCATGTTTTATGTGTGTTATTTTGGTGTGGATGCAGAGAATACGAGATGTTGATACTATGAGTTTATTTCTAAGACTGTTTAACAATATGTAGTTATATAATTGGTCAGTACACTAAGTAGGCGGAGCCTAACAATCAAGTTTAAAGGTACTGCATGCAATATATATTTAATGTAGAATTAAATATGAAACAATATATATTTAATGTAGAATTAAATATGAAACAATTATCTTCTTTTAATAATTGATATTACCGTATAAAACAGACAATTTTTGCATAGTACCTTTTTTTAAACACAAAAAAAAAATTCTTTTAATTTTTTATCCTACATTCCATGTTTAAAATTAGGAAATGTCAATTGTTATCATCACACTTTTCAGTATAATTGAATTTTATCACACGCCCGTGCTGATTTTGCGACTCCATAAATATGGTATTGCACAGCTGTGCATATATTTTGACGTGACGTCATTAGCGTTATACAAACATAGTGTAAAGATGCCCTAAATGTAAGCGTTAAACTATAGGCGCGTCAATGAAAAATGACTCTTTTTTTCTGACTCTTTTTTCACTTTAAACGGTATTTATTTTGCACAAAAATATCAAAATATTAATGTTATAATGACTTAATGCCTAGCTGTAACATGATGTACATGTTGTCTAGTATAACGTTTAAAAGTCCTACTTAAACATGATTGTTATTAGTCATATAAAATATTCATACATATAAAAAAAGAACACAAATAACACTTGAATATTATTGTATTTGATTGTCTTTAAGACATATGCTGCATATAGTTATATATGTATATAGACATAATATAGGCAGAATGAAACTGTGTAATAGAATTCTTTTTAAACTTTTCTTAGAATATAACAGAAACATTTTAAGCAGAAAAGTATTGGTGATCTATCATTAAGTTTGTTTTCAAGTTATTTTCTAAATAAATCTTTGATTCTCATATAAAATACTGCTTACTGCATCACAAACGTATTGAGAAAGACTATAATTTCCATGCTGTGTGTGATAAGAGTAATAAATTATCCAGATCTCGATCAGGTAATGGTGGCGTTGCCCTTTTATGGCATAAGCGTTTTGATAATATTGTAACGCCATTAAACATTGACGATGACAGAATTGTAGGTTGGGTTGAACCAGTATATGTATATATTTCAAATATACCTACCATGTACTAATCATTCACTGAACTCCTTTGTAAATTACATTAATAAACTATATGATTTGTATTACATGTATTCACAATATGGTATGACTATGTTTATTGGTGACTATAATTCACAATGGAATAGCTTAACATCTCGTCACAGTTATATGCTTAAGTTTTTAACAGATTGTAACTTGATAGCTGTGAATACGTTACCAACATGTTATGGTGCCACATGTTCATATGTTTCATATGATGATCGTTTTTCAACACTTATTGACTATATATGTTTACCTAATGAAGTGCTTGATCTTGTGTCTTATTGTGAAATCATGGATGATAATAGTCTAAATGTATCGAGGCACCGACCTGTTGTCATGTCTATTCATATATATGTAGAACCAAGTATGCTAACAAATTTAAGCAGTAATGTGTATAATATTAATTGGAAGAAAGCATCTAATGATAGCATTGTGCAATATCAGTCTTTATTATTATCTGACAATGAATTTATTGAACTTGAATATTGTGACTTCGATAAAGATGGTATTGATTGAGCATACACAGTGATTTCCGCTAGTTTATTGAACAGTGCGTGTCAAGTGTTACCACAGAAACGTTTTAAGGAATATTTAAAACCCTTCTGGAATGACGAACTATCGTCCTTACACAAGAAAATGCTATTGCTACGCGAGGAATGGTGTCGTGATGGGAGACCACGTAGAAACGACAATGTATTTTACGTTAAATATAAATCATCTAAACGAGACTTTCGCAAGATGCTGAGAAAATGCTCAGAGGATTTTCTTATTCAACAGGACAACGAGTTGGATAGAACTGCAGAAATCGATTCAACTCAATTTTGGAAACTAGTGAATTCCAGAAAACGAAAGAGTCCATGTAAAATGACTGAAGGTATAAACTTCAACGGTAAAATAATAAGAGACCGAGAATAAATTTCAAAAGAGTGGGGACTGTATTTCCAATCTTTGTATACATTTAATGAATCCCAAGAATATGATGAATATTGGAAGCAGTCAGTGACAGCGACGGTAAATGAAACACTAGGGCGTATCACAACCGATAAAACAGTACGTGTGCTTCCAGATACAGTTTCTGAGGCTATACAGACCCTGCCAGTAGGAAAAGCATGTGGTGAGGATAATTTAGTGTACGAACATTTAATTTACTCAAAAGACATTGTTTCTAGAATTTTATCCAATATCTTCACACATATGCTTAGGATTGGCTACATTCCAGACGATATGAAAAAAGGCGTGATTATAACCTTACATAGAGGAAATAAAAGGAAGGATGATCCCAATAACTATCGTGC